CACGTGATAAAAAAATTGCTTGCACTCCTGTGCGAATTAAATTCACACTTTTGTGACTATCGCTAGGAAGGGGGGAGCCTCAACCCCATCTTTCTTTTAAGGCTCCCCCCTTCCTAGCGATAGTCACAAAAGTGTGAATTTAATTCGCACAGGAGTGCAAGCAATTTTTTTATCACGTGACCTCTTCTCATTTTGGAATCGAGGTTTATGGCACTCTTGTCTTTCCAAGGCTAATCTCAATATTCAACTGTAGGGCCACTCTTGTCTTTCCAAGGCTAATCTTAATATTCAACCGTAGGGCCACTGGCAAGCCCGCATAGCGGGCTTCGTAGGGGAGCTAGTCTTCTGTTAATCGAAATGTGCATACTTTCAATTTGATACATTACATTTGTCATGTAGAGGCAGGGTTGAAAGTTGTTTAAAAACATTTTCCAAGCCCCGGTCTATTCGTGGTCCTCGTTTAAATATTTTCACGTGTTACCCTCTTCATTTCTCCTGTTTATTCTAATTGCAATGTTTTTAAGCGTCCATCTTTTTTTATCTCTTGATGAATCGTTGAAATACTTTGCAGGCTTATCTAAAAGCTCTGCTTATTATTCTGAATTCTACTTTAAAGCTTGACAACAACATGCTTCTGCCTGCCCCCACCAATTATTAATCCTCGTTGACATAATTTCATGGGTTATTCCTAAAAGTTCTCCTATTTAGTCAGAATCAAATTTTAAAGTTCTCCAACAAATTTTAAAATTTTCTAGTCGTACACTCTTAGCCCTTGTCAACTTAAAGGGGCTTTTTTTAAATATTTTCTAAGGTCATTCTTAGAGCTGTAATGTTCATTTTAAAGCACTTTGTTCAATATTTGTTCACTTGTGATGCTGTTTTAAGACATAATTGCGGGCCACCCTCAAAGCTCCCTGTTTATTCTGAATCAAATATTAAAATTTTCCAACACAATATTCCTGTTAGCCGTTATTGGTCCATGGTGCTCGTTTAGACAAACATCATCTGAAAATTTCTTAAGAATAAAAATTCCTGAAAAAGTATGTTGATTCATAAAAAATGTTAACGATTTCTGATCTAAACTCCAAAGAATTAAAATAATTACACAGTTATTTCATTTGAGGGCCTGGTATCATATCTTCGTCACAATTAGCTTTTAAAACACTACAGCAACAAAGCACTTAAGAAAATTGAAAGATAGAAAACAGCAAAAGTTTCGTGCATCATAAAGGATTCTTACTCAAACAACAAATTAACAAAATACAATTCATGGACAACTGCTAATCTTCACAGATTTAGTAATTTTCTCCACAGTCATGGTTTTTTCTTGTTTCTTTGTTCGATTTAACGCCAGCATAAATGCCATAAATTTCCTTTCGAAGGTCCAAGAATCACGTCTGCGTCATAATTATTGCTTGAAACGGTCTTTGGTCTAGATGAAGAACAAAAAAATAATGAAGATGTTATTCCATGGTTAATGAAAGCACGTTCTAAGGAAATCGATGGTCATAATGCTTTGTAAAATTTCAGAAAAAACGTTCGCCCCAAGAGCTTAGCCACCCCTTTAGCGACTGGTTTTAGTATAATTTCATCAAATTAAGCATAAAATCATTTGAAATTGTTCTTGTTAAGCGAGCAATATAGCAAATCCATTTTCCTTTAAGGACAAAACTACGAAGAGGTAAAAATTTAAGAGAAACACGTTCGTGGCGGGACTCCTTTTAGCAACCGGTTTTTAGTGTGATTTCACCCAAATAAGCATAAAGTCATTTGAAATGATTTCTAGAATGATTCACTTACAATTGCGAAAATGCTGTCAAAGCTATAAATAATTCTAACTTGAGAGGCAGGCAAATCCTATTTGTCTCGGTGGGAAAATCTTTTAATCGAAAAATTACTCACTTGTTGTACCAAAAAGTCCGCGAATCCGATCGTTCATCTACAAAAAAGGAAGGAAGGCGGTTAGGAAAAGTTGCTGCAAAGGATTCTCGTTAGGCATAAAAAGTTGGGGGCTGGCATTACATAATTCGCATTACAACGGGTTTCCTATGAAAATCAAATTTCCTTGCATCAAGAATAAACAGCAGTTGATTGCAATAAAGCCAATCCAGTTTCCTTTTAGCACAAAACCACGAGAAGAAGTAAAAATGTTTCGTTCGCGGCGGGGGTCTAGCGGCCGGTTTTAGTGAAATTTCCTCGAAATGAGCACGAAACCATTTGAAATAAGGCATATCGAAAACACGTAAGAACAACAACGCTTACCTGTATTCGGTTGCCATCGATTCTGATGCCAGTGAAGAAGGGGAACAGCCAGCAGCCATCGCAGAACCGAAAAACGGGCAGCAGCGTGTGTACCGTAGGTACGTAGCTACTAAAACGGAAAGGGAGATCGTCAAAAGCACGAATTACATGGCTCTTGCAAACGAAATAAGAAACGGGGTTCAATCGTCGATCAATAAAAAACCAGTTGATAAAAAAAGCCAAGGAGACTCACCTGAGATCGAGAGCAGCTACTAAGGACTGAAGCCTCAAGCTGTAGCACAGACCACGACCGTCGAGGATCGCTTCGAGTTCGAAAAGGAATGCCAAGCAGCAGTGCACGTAGATTTATTATTAGCTATCCTCTCCTCTAACTACGAAAAATCCAATGGATCCTTTGTGGAAAGCGAAACGAATTTGAAAAGCCTCCGTTCAAATTGAAAGGTTGCTGGAGGAAAAAGTTTTAAAATCTTTTGTAGAGAGCAAGAGAAAAGAGAGAGAAAGGACCTTCAGAAACGCGGGACAAAGACCACGGAGAGCACTAATGGTGATCGAGACGATGCCTCAGAAAACGCCAAATATCTCGAGAAACAAGGCAGGAAAAAAAACGTTATACCTTTACGATAGCAAATCAATTATCTAGCTTCGATTTGAGACCTTGCCGGGGAAAATCCGCTCTGCCCTTCGGGGAGAAAAAGGGGTTGAACCGCCGTGCGGTGTGGCAATCTTTTGCAGAGAGTAAGAGAAAAGAGAGAGAAAGAACCTTTAGAAACACGGGACAAAGACCACGGAGAGCACTAACGGTGATCGAGACGATGCCACAGAAAACGCCAAATATCTCGAGAAGCAAGGCAGGAAAAAAAACGTTATACCTTTTTGATAACAAATCAATTATCTAGCTTCCATTTGAGACCTTGCCGGGGAAGATCCGCTCTGCCCTTCGGGGAGAAAAAGGGGTTGAACCGCCGGGCGGTGTGGCAATCTTTTGCAGAGAGTAAGAGAAAAGAGAGAGAAAGAACCTTTAGAAACACGGGACAAAGACCACGGAGAGCACTAACGGTGATCGAGACGATGCCACAGAAAACGCCAAATATCTCGAAAAACAAGGCAGGAAAAAAAACGTTATACCTTTTTGATAGCAAATCAATTATCTAGCTTCGATTTGAGACCTTGCCGGGGAAGATCCGCTCTGCCCTTCGGGGAGAAAAAGGGGTTGAACCGCCGTGCGGTGTGGATCTTTTGTTCGGGGCTCATTTGCATATCCGCATAATAGTATTAGTAGACTACGAAGCCCGCTACGCGGGCTTGCCAGTGACCCTACGGTAGAGTACATAGATTAGCCTCGGAAAAGACAAGAATTTTCTCAAAACCCCCTGTGAATGATAGTAAAATTAGCCTCGGAAAAGACAAGAATTCTGTCGAAGCCCCCAATGAGCATGCAGATTAGCCTCGGAAAAGACAAGAGGTGTATCAACCTCGATTTGAAAAAAATTGGCTCCGCACAGGTCACGTGATAAAAAAATTACTCGCACTCCTGTGACTATCGCTAGTCAGGGGGTCGCCTGAAATAGAGAAGGGTAGAGGCTCCCCCCTTCCTAGCGATAGTCACAGGAGTGCGAGTAATTTTTTTATCACGTGACCTGTGCGGAGCTAATTTTTTTCAAATCGAGGTTGATACACCTCTTGTCTTGTCCGAGGCTAATCTGCAAACTCATAGGGGGCTTCGACAGAATTCTTGTCTTTGCCGAGGCTGATTTTACTATCATTCACAGGGGGTTTTAAGAAAATTCTTGTCTTTTCCGAGGCTAATCTATGTACTCGACCGTAGGGTCACTGGCAAGCCCGCGTAGCGGGCTTCGTAGGGGAGCTAGTCTTCCGTTAATTGAAAGTTGCTTCAAAACATTTGCAGCCCAGGTCTATTCGTGTTCCTCGTTTAGATATTTTGATGGGTTACCCCCTAAGTCTTGTGTTTTAATTTTCCATAAAATTTCATGGTAAGACTTCCCAACTTTACTTATCTGTTTACTCCTCTGACAAATAAAATTAAAATTGAATCTATCCTGAAAATGAGAATAAAAAAACAATGCCCTCCTACATTCTTTCAATTTAATAAGGAATGCAAGCAAAAAGTGTAATATCATACAGCAAGCAGGCAAGCACATTCTAAACATGACAAAAGACAAACATAATTAAACCAATCCATAGTCACGCCTACTGTGAGTAGCATATACTATTGGCAAGAGCAGGAAATAATTGCTCGAGGACAAAGTATTATTTACTTGCAGCAACAACCCTATTGAGATAAGAGCTATTTTCGTGTAGGAAGATAATGCTTATTACCTTGATTGTAATTCAGTAAATCCTTTTAGAAAAGTAAACCCAAACTTAATTACTTGCTGGCTCCAGATACCGATACTTGCGAAATTCCTAATAGAACCAATCCAATGAGTAGTTCCTCGATTATTACGATTACCACTTAGCAATATCATAGCTTTCATCACCATCTGAACCCCTTTGAAATCAAGGTTAATAGCACTCTTGACTTTCAGAGGCTAATCTTACTATCCCATTTTGGGGCCATAGGGTGCCCGCAGAGCGGGATTTACTGGGAGCTACTCTTCCGTTTATTAAAATGTGCATATCAATTTGATACATAAACGGTTGCAATATCAAGACAATACAGAAAGTTGCTTCAATACATTTTGTAAGCCACGATCTAATTGGGGTCCTCGTTTAAATACTTTCACGGGTTACCCTCTTTATTTCTACTGCTTATTCTAATTGCAATGTTTTAAAGTTTGCATCTTCTTTTATCTCTCGGTGAATCGTGGTGCTCGTTTAAATATCTTGCAGGCTTATCTAAAAGCTTTGTTTAATATTCTGAATTCTACTTTAAACTTGACAGCTACATACTTCTGCCAGCCCCCATCATTTTCATGAGTTAATCCTATAATTTCTCCTATTTAGTCAGAATCAAATTTTTGAGTTTTCCAATCATACATTCTTAGCCCTCGTCGACTTATAGGGCGCTTGAAAATATTTTCTAAGGCCATTCTTAAAGCTGTAATGCTCATTTTGAATCCAACATGAATATCTTTATCAGAGCATTTCGTTCAATTCTTGTTCACTTGTGATGCTGTTTTAAGGTATAATTTGGGGCCACCTTTAAACTTCCTCTGTTTATTTTGAATCAAACATTAAAGTTTTCCAACAATAAATTCCTGTTAGCCGTTATTGGTCCATGGTGCTCGTTTAGATATATATCATCTAAAAATTTCTTAAGAATTAATGACTCCTCTTCTAAACTCCAAAGAGTTATAGAGTTATTACGCAGTTCTATACATTTGAGGTCCACATATCACATCTTCGTCACAATTAGCTTTTGAAACACTGCAGGAACAAAGCAGTTAAGAAATAGAAAGATAAAAAACAGCCAAGTTTCGTGCATCAGAAAGGAATCTTACTCTAACAACAAATTAACAAAATACAATTTACGGACAACAGCTAATCTATATTATACAATTTTAGTCCTTTTCTCCACAGTCAAGTTTTTTCTTGTTTCATCGTTTGATTTAACGCCAGCATAAATGCCATAAATTTCGTTTCGAAGGTCCGAGAATCACGTCTGCGTCGTAATTATTGCTTGAAACGCTCTTTGATCTAGATGAAGAACAAAAAGATTAATGAAGATGTTATTCCATGGTTAATGAAAGCACGTTTCAAAGAAATCGATATACAGCCAATCCATATTCTTATAAGCAGAAAACTACGCGAGGTAAAAAAATTCAGAGAAACACGTTCGTGGCGGGTCTAGCGACTCCTTTCAGCAACCGGTTTTTAGTGTAATTTCACCCAAATAAGCATAAAGTCATTTGAAATGGTTTCTAGAAAGATTAATTTACAATTCCCAAAATGATGCAGGCACAATCTACCGTAACAATCCAGCTTCCTTTCAGTACAAAACCACGAAATGAGGTAGAAATTCGCCGTTCGCGGCGGGGGTCTAGCATTAAGCAACCGGTTTTTAGTGTAATTTCACCCAAATAAGCATAAAGTCATTTGAAATGGTTCTCGTTAAGCGAGCAATACAGCAAATCCATTTTCCTTGAATTACAAAACTGCGAAGAGGTAAAACATTAAGAGAAAAACGTTCGTGGCGGGTCTAGCGACTCCTTTCAGCAACCGGTTTTTAGTGTAATTTCACCCAAATAAGCATAAAGTCATTTAAAATGGTTTCTAGAATGATTAATTTACAATTCCGAAAATGATGCAGGCACAATCTACCGTAACAATCCAGCTTCCTTTCAGTACAAAACCAAGAAAAGAGGTAGGAATTCGCCGTTCGTGGCGGGGGTCTAGCAGTAAGCGACCGGTTTTTAGTGTAATTTCACCCAAATAAGCATAAAGTCATTTAAAATGGTTTCTAGAATGATTAATTTACAATTCCGAAAATGATGCAGGCACAATCTACCGTAACAATCCAGCTTCCTTTCAGTACAAAACCAAGAAAAGAGGTAGGAATTCGCCGTTCGCGGCGGGGGTCTAGCAGTAAGCGACCGGTTTTTAGTGTAATTTCATCAAATTAAGCATAAATCATTTGAAATTGTTCTTGTTAAGCGAGCAATACAGCAAATCCATTTTCCTTGAATAACAAAACTGCGAAGAGGTAAAACATTAAGAGAAAAACGTTCGTGGCGGGTCTAGCGACTCCTTTCAGCAACCGGTTTTTAGTGTAATTTCACCCAAATAAGCATAAAGTCATTTAAAATGGTTTCTAGAATAATTTTCACTCAAGAGGCAGGCAAATCCCATTTGTTTCAGCGGGAAAATCGCACAAAAAATGAAATTTTAATCGAAAAATACTCACTTGTTGTACCAAAAAGACAGCGAATCCGATCGTTTATCTACAAAAAAAGAAGGCGGTTAGGAAAAGTTGCTGCAAAGGATTCTCGTTAGGCATAAAAAGTTGGGGGCTGGCGGGATTACAAAATTCGCATTACAACGGGTTTCCTAGAAAATCAAATTTTCTTGCATCAAGAATAAACAGCAGGAATAATCTACCACGATTCTTCATACTTTGATTGCAATAAAGCCAATCCAGTTTCCTTTTAGCACAAAACCACGAGAAGAGGTAAAAATTTTTCGTTCGCGGCGGGGGTCTAGCGGCCGGTTTTTAGTGCAATTTTATCCAAATGAGCAGAAAATCATGTCAAATAATAAATTTTGAAAACACGTAAGAACAACAGCGCTTACCTGTATTCACATGCCATCGATTCTGATGCCAGTGAAGAAGGGGAACAGCCAGCAGCCATCGCAGAACAAAAAAAACGGGCAGCAGCGGGTGAACGTAGCTACTAAAACGAAGAAAAGGAAGATCGTCAAAAGCACGAATTTAATGGCTCTTGCAAACGAAATAATAACAAACGGGGTTTCAATCGATCGATCGATAAAAAGGAAAGGAAAATGACGACGAAAAATTTTTAAAAAGCTAGCGAGACTCGCCTGTAGCTGTAGCTGTAGCACTGTAGCACAGAACACGACCGTCGACAACCGCTTCGAGTTCGAAAAGGAATGCCAAGCTGCAGTGCACGTAGGTTTATCATCCAATTCCAAATCACCGAAATTATCGGCACACAGTAGATTCTTTGTGGAAAGCGAAACGAATTTGAAAAGCCTCCGTTCAAATTGAAGGGTTGCTGGAGGAAGAAGTTTTGAAACCTTTTGTAGAGAGCAAGAGAAAAGAGAGAGAAAGAACCTTTAGAAACGCGAACGCGAAAGCCAGTATTTTACCCATCAAAGAGAGGGAGGAAATGTTTTGAAAAATCCTTTGAAAAGGTACTCGATCTCTCTCAAAAAAGTTGGGGATGAAAAGGGATATTCGCTTTAGAATCAAAGGTCAAGGTTTTCAATCAACAACTACTGACTGGATGACAATCGACGTTTTCAAAACATCCAGGAAAGCGCTAGAAAAAGTCTTTGAAAAGACAAACAAAGAGAGCGAAGCGTTAGCAAAGAAAATGGCCTCGTTGAGCAAGGCCCATTGAGAGAAGACACGTCGCAAATTCGGAGCGAGGGAAGCGAGCAAACGAAGATTTGAGACCTTAACACACAATTGCAACCCCCGAGGAACCAAACTACCGAAGCTCAGCCCAAGGGGTGCAGCAGTTTTTGCGGAGTTCGTGCAAGAACTTTCGATGGGAACGGACCGATATCAGATGTAATCGGACCGATATCAACGGAGCGAGCTCATTTGCATATCCGCACATTAGTATTATTGTAGAGAAGATATCTGCGTCACATGTAAATTGATATGCTCATTACCAAACGGATATCCTTGAATTTATTTGTCTCCGCCCTTGCCTGATAGTCTCAATAGTGGAAAAATTATAGATTCTTATCAACTCTCTTCTTTGCAAATGGTCCTCACGAAACTTTGTAGGATAAACTAGATACCGGGATTAGCATTGTTGGAAAATGAGCTTCTCCAGTTGTTTGGCTAGCACCACACTGATTAATACTATTTTTGATGAGTTTCTATATCTAAGTAGTTTCGATATCAGTTTAAGAACCTTTGAAAAATGAAATGCGCTAGTAAACCGGAACGAAGTATAAGTCATTATCATTTTTGCTTCGTTTTTGTTAGGCGCTTTGCAGTGCTCCTTGTCTTCTTCATCCTGTCTTCTTCGCACCAAGAACTCCTTTGAAGCCCATCGAAGAGCTTTGCTAGCGCGTCCCTTGCCGTTATTCTCATATTTTTCACACAGTCGTACCTGCAATTTTTACTGTTTGTTTATAATCAAGTTATTTCACAAACAAGCTCTATATGATAATTTAAAACAACAAATAAGTGAAAAAACTTTGAAACTTGTAATGCTGCTCCATAATTTGAAACATTTGATGCACTTACATTTTATATTACCTTGCCCTTATTTTGTTCTTAATTTAGTTTAACCTTTTACTAATTTTGGGGCTGGTATTAAAAAATTGTCCTTACAAAAAGAGAGTGTTGTGGGTCATTCCCAACAACCAGAGGCCATAATAGCATGGTGCTGTTCAGTCCCCTCAATAATTTCCAAATGATTAATCTTACTTTTAGGTTTCACCCCTTCAAGATATGTTTGCCTCCTCAAACCATAATATGCTTCTCTGTCTTTTAGTGTTGAAACAACGTTTTCTTCCTGGGAAGCGACTTAAAACTCAAGTTCTCCCTTAGTTTTCCTGTCTTAAGCATATTGTTTTCAACGACTTATATATTTCAGCTTTCCTCATCCTACATTTGCCAGTTTAATACACATTTTTTATAAGAATGATCCAATTTCAGCCTAGCGTTTCTAATTTTTCCGCATAATTCAGCCTCAAGTGGTTCTTAATTTTCTTCTTACTCAGGGTACTCGGACGAAGGGGGCCGGGGGCCATATTATTTTTTGGAGTCTACTTTCCTGTGCATATCTGTTCTCGAAATTTTGTAGCTCCAGTGCCCAGGGTACCAGCTTACCAGTGACTGGGCCCTTGTCAATATGTATCGTATTGAAAACTGGATTCAGAAAATAGCAATCGAGCTTCTTGTTAGACGTGACAAACATGAAAAATATTCTCAGGATGGCATCACTATTTAATATTTTTCTCGATCTACTAACAGAAACGTTAAATAAGCACCTTTGTTTCCTTTTTTATCGTTTGCTATCATAATCAATCGACTACCATAGCATACTCGCAGGGCCGTAGCAATTGGAAAGTAGTTAGAAGGGATGAGGGTCTCGGGGACAATTCAACAGAATTTTTTTGTAGGTCGTGCTCTCTGGGTGATTTTAGCATGATTTATTACAATGGCATCATAATTTTTCCAAATATATCGCACAAGCTGCACTAGGTATTTCGAAGATATGCTTTACATTTATAGATTTTTGCCAGGCTGCCCTCTGTAGTAACCTAATTGACTATGCGCAGGAGCATTACTTTATGTGACCCATGTTTATATAGAGTTTCAGATTACAGTTTACATTATTACAGTTATGTGTGTAGGCCGTTTGAAGTTCAACCCATGCGTTGTTCTTTCTCCTTCACATATTAACACCCTCTAGCTCCCATATCTGCTACGGCCTTGATTCGCTTATCAATGTTATCGATCAAATAGTTAAAACCCAGATGATACTGCTGGTTACAATATTCCAACATAACTTTAAATAAAAACAATTTAATCTATTTACAATTCAACCTAACCTATCAATGACTTTTTGCTTAACCCCTTAATCATATATCGAATAGCGCAAACTAAAATGACTCCACTTGAAATAAACAAGCATAAAACATGACACCTGTTTACAGCGAGAATTTATTAACGGTACTTGTCATAATTTACTTATCCTGCCTCTAGATTTCTATTATCAATATTCGCTAGATACTGAAAAAAACAAAGTCCACATGAGCAGCTGCTAGTCCTAGCAGCAACTTTCCTTTGGGCAATAAGAACAGTAGCGTAGCCAAGGTATTAAGTTTTTTTGGTGGCAAAGGCGAGATGAGCAATGTAAAATTGGGGCTTCTCGCCCCTTTGAACGCCAGAAAACGCCCCTTTTGAAAGAAATTTTTTGCCATTGTGGGGGGGGGGGGTTTCCAACTTCTCTTGCCTCCACTCGCAACACTACGTAATAAGAACGGTGGATTAAAAGCCCCTTGTTCCATTTGAGCTTCTGCTCCAAACAGGGGCCAATAAAAGAACTGAATTTGTGGAAAGCTGTTGCAAGAGATTGAAACTAGGTTAAGCATAGGGACAAAAATTTGTTGACATGCCTTGTAAAACTTTTCAATAAAGACAAAACGCTTTTTTAAGCTGTGGCGGTTTTAAGGGGGGCCAGGGTGCCACAGATTAATCATAGCCCATCCACTTGCCAATCCACTTTAAACGGACAGATGCAGGGCAAGGGCTTCGCAGATACATAACAAGGGCTTCGTACTTGTTTTCCGCCCTGGCCCTCGGAATCCAAAAGTCATTACTACTTCTCATTGAGCCAACGCCCCAAATACTATTACATGTGTATTGGTTTAACCATTCATTCTAATTACTATGAGTCCTGCCGCACAGAATGTCCTCAAAGACGCGATGATGAAGTCTCCCTTGCATTCTGCGTTGTCGATTTTGTTGTATCGGCTCTTGGTCGTCTGAAGCAGCGCAGTGACAGTGCTGATCCAATTTCGTTTCGCACTTCTTCGTGTCGAACGAAATAGATGAATGGGTTCACTGCAGCGTTTGCGTATAGGAATGTATTGAAGGAGTCTTCCAGAATCAGTAGCAGATCAGACATAGAGTCACCTTGTTTTTTGACAGCTATTGAAATTGGCTTGAGCATCATTTGAGGAAGGTACATAAGACCTAGAATTACAGTGACCAAAGCGAATGTCTTTGCCATCCGCCTTTCTTGTTTTATGCCCCGCAGTCTGTCTTTCTCTGTCGAAGAAAGCTTCTGAGCAGCTATGCGTTGTTTTTTAAAGCTTCTGAAAAGAGCAGTGTATGATCCTATAATAGTCGCAAGTGACAACAGGACCACGAGGACCAGAAGTGCCATAAACACAACCTGTGTGTACGGAGATGCAAAACGGAAGACAGGAATAATAGCACTTACAGCACCAGCAATGATAAGGCTAGTTATGGCGCGAAAATTTGTTGAGACTGCCCTGTGCTTCAATGAGTACATTACTGCCATTAATCTTTCTATTGCCATCAGTGTCGTTATGAATAGTGAGGCGCAACAGAACGTGTATGAACTGTACACCAAGGCAAGGAACAACCAGGCTTCCCAGGTTTCAAGGTCCTCTTCCTTGTACACATTCTTCTGCCTGAAGACAAAGTACCCATGGATTGGCTGGCAGATTAGGCCAGTGCATAGGTCTGTGATAGCCATGGCGGACAGGATGATGTTGGATACCTTCCAAGTACGGCGTTTTGCAACACGTATCAACGCGATTAAGACGGTTGCATTGAGAAGAACAGCAAGTGCACCAAATACAATATTGCAAATGAATATGATAAAGCAATACTTTCCAGAGCAAAATATCAAAGGTCCAACAGCGGGCTTCATCTTATGACCTGAAACGATAAAATATTGAATGCAGAGCATGTCTGTAGATGTTATATTTCAATGTATACTAATGTATAAGACAGCAGGATCCGCGTTGATGAGTCCTCTTCTTGGGTGCTTGAATCCCCGTATCTTGTCCATAAGTTCTTCTCTATTTGAATAGGCAAGAAGAATTCATCTGTATATTTGAATGTAGGTCTGACGATTGTAGATTGGGGTATGCTCCCAGCATGGGCATAGATCACACCATAAAGAGATATAGCAAATGCTGACTTAATCTGGAGCGTCTGAAGAGTCATAGCAAATGCATTATCAAGATATGAAACCTAATTAAAGGATATCCCAAAATGTTTTCAGTCAGACGTTCAAAACTTTCAATCGCAAAATCACCAGTGATATTTACAATTTTCTAATCCCATCCAAATCAATTTTAGAGCAGCAGTAACTCTATCCGCTGGTGGTTTCATTATGACTATTCTCTATCCTCAAATATTGTTTACAACTTCATTTGCAACTTTTCATATTGAGGGGAGTATTGTTGATAACGAGGTGTGTATCACGATCACGAAATTGTAAACCCTGTCTATTTAGAAGCAATACAAAAACTCATCACAGGCACCGCGGAGTGTTGAGAAAAGTGCGAGTCTAAAAAAAGTGGGGGGAGGGGAGGGGGCTAAAACCGTATAAAAAGAGGCTTTACTGGTAGTTTGTTACTTAATATTTGGCTAAAGCCCCCCCAGCCCCCCCCCTGCTCCACGGTGCCTGCATCATATCGATATACCACTATAGGCTGAAAGTTAGAAGAGGTAATGTCTCTGTGATATAAAGCTGTTATATTTAAGGTCATGTCAATATCTCATCAGCAAAATGAAAAAAATAATTGCATACATCTAGACATGCGAACACTATGCATTTATTCATTTTGTCATTTGAATTTAGAATTTCCGACATACTGCAAACCCAACAAAAAGAGACTGAGTATGGCTTACATTGATAGATGGAATGGTGCCAATGCTGAGAGGAGGGGGGAGGGGGGTCAGAGAGGTCACTGACCCGGGGGTTCTTGGCTAAAGAGGTCCATAAATGATACCTCAATAAAAAGATCAAAAGTGATAATCCTGCCATTATAACAAACTGTCAATAATAGAAACAATAATGACAAAAGCCTATGAAAGAAGTGAGGTGGAGACAGTATGAGTCATTGACTGCTTGAGAGTTAAAGATTTTTGTTGAGAATTTCTAATCTTTGTGGGCTAGAGGGCTAAGGCTGAAGAAGTTGAAAAACCTCTGAATGTGTACCAAATAATGTGATTACAACAGGGGAACATACAGCAATATGTACTTTGAACATTCAGCAATTTGCATCGTTTTTTTACATTTTTCAATTCGTCATAAATACTCCTATTACCACACCCCCTTCCCCCCTAAACAAGCTGATAATTTAGAAAAATATTAAATAATTAGCAGAAAAAAGCGTATTTCCTAATCCAATACATCTTTTTGTAAAAACCAACATTAATTAAGGGGGGAATTGCCCTTGGAAACTGTTGTTAATGTCCCAAATCTTTTGGTTGGCATTGTACGTCATACTCTACGTCATTTTCTAGCACTTTTAGAATGCCTTAGAAATTTTCATTTGTATGCATTTTGGTGTTAAGATATCAGTTATACTCAAACTATATAAGATAGCAAACAGAAGTAATAGCCATTAAAGCAGTTTAGCTACAATCCTTTTTAAAAATTCCGAGGGAGCATTCCTCGTATTCCCTAGAAGGATCTGCCTTGGGCCTGCTTTACTAAATATCTTTCGACCCAACCCGGGGCCCATAAATCCTCTCCGCGGCCCTAAATGGAGCTTCTAGCTTTGAACCAAAACTTTGATTCATGTGCCAAGAATTTGATCATCTCTACTGAGTAAGGAAGTTTCAAACCCACTTTTATTGAGACTGGCATAAAGCTGGTTATAATTGAGAAAAATGTTAATGCTGTCGGCTTGATCAGACTAGCCACTAAGCCAAGAACTGATTCAACTGAGAGCTGCTTGAAATTGAAAATGTTTCCTTTCTTGCAATATCAGAAAGGAGTCATTCCCAATGGAAAGCATAAACTCCGGCTGTAATGCGTAGGGGGGATTATAAGTATCTTTCTCCAATAAGGGATAATTATTTCCTTCAAAGAGATATATTTGGTATCCATTCAAGTGTACACGATTAGTTTGAGAACTAAAGAGATCAAGCACATTCTTTCAAGGAATTTATAGAATGATCACATCTGGCAATCATTGTGATACAGTAAAAATCTCTCAGGTTTTTGGATGATATGGAAAAATAAGATATTATGTTGGCAGTGTACCCTCCCCCAACTCCAATTCCTTATATACAATTCATTAATAAATTCACCGGAAATTCACCGGTTGGTCCACAAATTTCTTAGATGGTTGGTAAAATTGCCTAACAGTTGGTAAAACAGCATCTAAACTGTTCTTCATCTATATCTACGTCGGTAAAATTGACTCTTGATGACCCTCCACCAGCCCAAGCGCCCCCCTAGTCTGGGAGATGAAGCTACATTCGCCGACAAAATTATTGAGACAAAATTCAATATTTTTCTTCACGTTGTCCCGGTTTATTCCAATCTTCCCTCTTTTTACCCGAATCAATGTTGGATTTGTAGTTCTATTATTTCTCCTTCAAATCATTAATTCAACATTGAATTAGGGGGGAGGAGGAGTTATTTTAAAAAATATCAACTTACCTTGAAAAGTCTCAACTATTCTTTTCCAGGATTGTAGGCCACTCCCTACTATTTTCAAAGATGTATTATTATTTTTTCTCAACCTTCGATAAAATTCAAGCGATTTCTATATCCGCCAAACCAGCAAGACAAAATACGCGATCAATTTCTTGAAGCAATAAGTTCTTACTCTTATCTATATAGTTGTGTCTTGAAGTCATTATTCCCACAGAAAAAGCACTAATGTAAGTCAATTTTTAGTTTGAATTTGTCAAGAAAAATTACCTTCTTATCTTTGATTGCAGTTTCAATGGAAGACTGAGAATTGAATCCAATAGCATTCGATGGAGATAAAAGTTTTCACCAGTCGCAGAAATCCTTATAACAAACTTCGGTTGTTAGACGAGACAATTTCTTTGAGAATCTTTGAGTTTGCCAAATACACGGAAGGGCACGTGTAAAAGAAAACTTAATCCAATTATTTAAACTGAGGATGATATATCAGCGAGTAGACATTCTATGTTCTCGATCTTGCTCATTGCTCCTGTGACTTATGCATGTTGCACACTTCCCATGCTTCCTGTTACTATTAAGATCCTTTTTAAGGAAAAGGGGAAATTCCAGAAACAGTGTTGAGATTTTTAATCCTGTGCTTCCAGTTTGAATGTCAGAAAGATAGTCTACACACAGTAGCGAATTTGTCGAAAAATAAGATGCAAGCCACAAAAGCAGAAAATCGTAAGCGTGTGGAGTTTCAAAACATGTAATTGGCTGACCCACCAATCATGAATTGTCCTTCTGTCACATGATATGGATATCTGAATTTCAAAATTGCAATGGACAAATACCAACCAACGTGGGGCCAGCTGTCAATCAGCAATGGCCAATCAGTAAGCTTGAAACTACTCACACGCTTGGTGATTGGTTAATATTGATTGAGAGATGGCTTATCTATCAAAGGCTGCTGATTAGAAAGATATAGAAGTGCAGTGATCACTGCAAAACAATCGCAACTGTTCGCGCAACACAGGGAGCAGCCGCAAAAATCGCAAAATCGCAGTTACAAATATCGACAACGAGACTTTGTCGCATTTTTATCGATTTCTGACTCCATCTGCTGTTTTTCCGCTAATTCCCCATCTTAGTATAGGCCCCTAAAGCTGTGCTGTGATTAACACTTGTAGCGCACAGGTTTCCAATTTCTGCTCCAAAAACCTTCTGAAGCAACCAATGCAGATTATGAAAGTATAAAACCAAAAAGAACAAAGCGACAAACTAAAACTTTCAAAAACTTATTTTTGAATAGGAAAGAGAAGGAAAAGTTTGAGTTTAGAGTACAAAGCAGGTTCAAAAGATAAAAATTGGCCTTTCTTCTCAGGTCATTAATTAACTTGATTATATCTCTTACAAAGCACGATTTTATTACAATCTATTACATGAAATATTGATGAGAAAGGTTTCACAATTACACTGATAAAAAAGATGCCCTTAAAAGACAAAAGATAATAAGAATGTTTAAAGTGAGATCCTATTTAAAATGAAAAATACCCATCAGTTGAGCCTTCTGATGACGTACATAATTTTTATTTAGACGTCATGAGATAAAGGAATTCAGCTTTGACACCCTCTCCTAATCCCCCTCCTCCATAAATCTGTAAGGTGCTCTGCAGTCATTGTTGTACTGCCTTTCTACTATTCCTTCCAAAGACACAAAAAGGAGGAGGCAAGATATGTCACCATAAGCAGTTATATTACATAACTGAACGCGTCATTGTTCTTCTCTTCTCTGGATAGGACAGACTTCTCCCGATAGGATATTCACGACAAGTTGCTTACAGCAAAAGGTAAAAAACTGGCTTGCATCACAGACCATCATCACCAAGGCGGACGAGCTAATAGAAAATCCTTGGAGATGATGGTCTGTAACGCAGGCTAAAAAACAAGAAGGAAAGAATAAAATACAAATAAACTGGATTTTGAACGAAATTTTGACTGGCTTAAAAAAAAGAAATTTGAAGCAAGAAAGTATAGAATAATAATTAGTGTTTGCTGGTCTGACATAAAGTGCGCGATGTCCTACAGGCAGAGCTGTACACGCTTTTCGTGTTAGAAGAGGACCTTCCTAAGTTGCTACTCCGAGTTTCACGCTTAATGCAATCATCGAAAGCAAGAAACTATAGATGTAGAAAATATGTGGCTTTTTATATATATAAATTCATTAAGTATTTGTTTATCTGAGAACTCGCTCGAATTTATATCCTCTCTGAGAATTTAAATATACGTCATCCAGGCTAGTATCAAACATGTCGGATCTGAAAGAATTATAGACATGGTTGATTAGAGAGGTCACTTCTGTTCTGTCAGTGGTGTCATCACAGCAGAGCAGCATTTACCAACTATCATACTTATTACACTCGAAGACTGGTAGATTTCATACTGGTAGATAACTTCAAAGAATATATGATAAAATTGATTCCCCAAGTTTACACTTAATCTGTGGGAGCAAGGACAAAAATGTGCGGACAAGAATCTATTTAGTGTCCTTTGTCAAAGGCGTCTTGAAATTGTATGAGAGCTGAGTTTTATTTTTCTGGGTTTGAAATCTCGTCATTTTCATTGCTTTAAAAATTGTCATGCATCTTCAGTATGGCTTATATAAAAGTAAGTTAGCTTGAAAAACTTTTACTCAAACGAGTTTTGATTCAAGGTATATTATGTTGAAAGTTTATAATGATTAATGACTCCATACAATATCCGTTCACGTTTTTGCATGAATTCTTCACTGACCTTTCTCCAAAACACATTATAATTATACAAATGTGAAAAAGCACACTATATAATTGTTTGATTGTCACATTATCAAAAAGATATAATCAACTAAGAACTGAAAATGCCAACCTTGTAAAAGTTTTCTGCTAATGTGTTTCGCTACCAGCAAAGAAAGCTTCTAGAAGTTCAGCCGCCGTGCATTTAGCGTCTCTGTTAACAACTGGACAATTCCCTCAAGAAGACATATTTATACTAGCTAGAAAGGTCATCTTATAGGCGTACACCTGCCAGTGCATACTCATTATTATGCAGCTGTTGTTATTTCCAAGGAAAAAACGTGCTAACCCAGTTTTTTTAAGAAAATGTAGATAATTTTTTGAAGGGAAGCAGAAAAAGAGATTCATTTTCAGCATTTTTCTGATAGAAATCAATACATTACTCTGTCCAACTGCTCTTTGCAAAGAAGGGTAGCAAATGTTCACTTTGGGAATCGTCTAATCGCAAGTCTCTGTTTAGTATTTTGACCTAGCGACGCCTAAAGAAGCCGGAGCAAGGGGACAAAGGGATACCTGCCCCCATACTTTTCAGAAAAAGAGGTTAATTGATATTTGCAGTTCATGAAGGCTACCCCTTTCTGCCTACCTTTCAACCACGTAGCTGCAGGTGTCGGCTAGGGGGGGGGGCAAACTCAAGCAAGAACCGTACCCCAGTGGGGGCAGGCTTTAAAACAAAAAAACAGATATATAACAAACAGATATATTTGGACAAAATCAAGGTCATGGAATTATATATATGCAAAATTTTCAAAATATCATATAAATAAAACTGTAGCCAGGGGGGGCAAGCTGTTGTCAAAATTTCCATTTGGAGGGCACAGCCCCCCGTGCCCCCTGCAGCTACGTGGCTGCTACGTTTGCTGTTTTTCCTAGATCTATAACTAGCTTTGACCTTTAAGTTAACAGAGCATTCAAAATTCGCTGATTATCTGCATAGCTGCACAAATAGATCTTTGTTATTGGCATTGCATTTGAAAATTAAAAGATGATCTTTCTAGCAGATGTTCTAAATCTTTGGAAGTGGCGAAATCAATTGAAGACTGCCACTAATTGTTCCATTGTTTTTTTCTTCCTTGATCACGAACAATTATTTTCTAACTTCTTAATGCCTGAAAACAAGCTATGAAGTTTCTTGTCCCTTTACAGTTAATCTTGTATGTACTCTTTAACGTTGAATGAGTAGATTTAATTATATTTGAAAAGTCTGATCGACAGCAAAACACTTTTCAATCAGAGAAAGTAAATCATCATAAGATCACCTGCTGCTCATCAGAATCATCAAATGGGAAACCTTTTGAAGAAAAAATATCAAAAAGTGCTTAAAAATGGCCTTGTCAATCAAATTTGATACTGCTTAAATTCATCACATACAATTTTATATCGAAAAATAAATTTGACCGAAAGGTACATCCTGTTCTCGATGTATATTGACTGAAAAGTAACCTAACTATAGCAAACCTGATTATCCTTTTGATAGTGAATGAATATGTAAAGCTTTATCATAATGCACAAGAGAACATGACTCCTTACAGGAAAAGAAGCGAGGGCAACTGGGGCAAAGTAAATTTGCTGTGTCTACTACAAAGTATGTTACCTAAAGCTTAAATGACCAGGCGGAGAATAGGGGAATGGTCACTCGAGAAAGAAATTTATGGGACCAAGTGCTTTTGGTCAATTCGAGGGTGCTGATTTCGAAAATGGTTTTGGGGGCTATCAGCCTCTTTTTCATGTTTGAAGCCTCGTTTTTGCGTACATGAAAGTAATTAATGAAAAAACAGTTTAAATGGAAAAAAGTTAAAAGTCTTAAAGTTAATTAAGCATATTTCTTGCGCATAAATCCTTAAAATTGAATTTTGATCTGTTAAGAGGGGCCAAAATCCTCGTTTTCACGAGAAAATTGCGTAATCTTAAAATTGTTATCCTTAAATAGACATCTAAAAAGCTTAATACATCTTTTGTTGAGACTAATTTCTGAATTGTCGTCAGAAGGAACTATGCAGCGCTATTAATTACTAACTGATAAATGACACTATGAAAAAACAACCGGATCATCTAAACGTAGTTTCATCGTTTAAAAGTTCCTCAAGATCGTCTTCTCAGTCGCTGCACACACGCTCTAAGCGTAGAACTCTTTTTCACTCTGACAATAGAATCCTCATTCACCCCAACCATGATCTATCTACTAGGAAGCCCAACTGAAGCATCAAACCACCTTGAAAATCATAGAGATTTAGTTTGCATGGAGAATATAAAGCCTTGTGTTTTCTTCACATGGCGGCAGAAGACTGAGATTTATGATCTCTTAATGTCTTTCGAACTTCTGCACAAGCAATATGTGTAAGATAAGATTTACTTAAGATGTGCTTTGATTTCTTTAAAATTCATGACAAACCTCGCTTAATCATTTCCGGCTTGTCCACTCTCAATCAGTTGTGTACCAATGCCCATCCGAGAGATAAAGAAAGACCCCTTTCCTCTGACTTCTATGTGAACTTTCTATACCCTTTTTACTGAGATACAATGAAAATGAACTAAATGATAATGAACTTTGAAGAAAGTGAACAGGAGTTCCTGCTCTGCTACACTATGATTCTGTTTCACTATTTTGGCTAAAACTGTACTTATTGGAGAATGTAGTAGTTTATATGATTCTTGTTTTTATAGGTTTATAGGTTTGTCTGGAATGGCGATAAGTGAAAAAGGAACACATTGTATAACAAAACGACCAACATTTCTGTTATAAGTTGCAAATGACCTTTATACATAAAAACCTTATCTTGCAAATGTTGTATTGAATCAAATTGAGGCGATACTCTTGCTAAAAATCATTGAAATCCTGTGATATTGTCAGCAAATAGTAATCTTGGCCTAGGTTGGTTGTAGAAAGCACCTTATTTCAGTGATTTTTGCAGATTCAAAAAGCACCCCTTTTCCAAGTTTACCTGTCCTAGGTTTAAGGAATGACCACCCCTTTCAGAAAAATCTTCCAAATGAGCTTGGGTACGTTGTGATTTGGAAACGATTTTCCAGACGCTGTGGAGGACAACAGCAGTCAATCCTAGAACTCAGAAATTAACGTTTTGTGCCTCGGAGGTGAATGAATTGAAACAATCAACTTTTTATTTGGAACACGGATGGAACTCAGTCAAAACAGCATCTGGAACTCGGAAATGATACCATATTTGTAAGAGAGCTGAACAATGGCCCGTAGTTGATAGCTGTATAATGTACTTATAGTTTCTGTTCTATTGTGGAACTGCAAAACATTAAATTCGAAATGGCCACTGCAGATGTCTTATACTCACGACCATCGCAGCATTCTAGCAGATTATAAAGCGTTTGAGATAAAACCAGGAGATATCGTTAATTTTCCAGGAGTGTTAACTACCTTTGCTTTAAATTGCACGGAAAACCTATGCTCAGACGGAACACCATATTTTGATGAATAGGCTGGTGTCTACGAAGGCAAAACAACAAATTGCAAGCAAAACAAAAGGGAAAAACTTTGCTGTGGCATCCAAAACAAACAAAAGGTATTGAGAAAGGGAGGGGGTTGAAAATTTTTTCACAGAGGCACTGTTTTTTGTCGGAAAGAAATATAGAATCTGGAGTAAGTGAGTAGATAGTACCTACACCCCCCCACCCCTCAATGGTACCAAAATGCATAAATATGAATAATAATGTTGTCTTATGCACAATAATCAATGCATTATCTGAAAGTCCCTAGCGTTGGCCTGGAACACAGTCAGGTTTTTGCTGGATCCGCCCCTGCAGTAGAGTACCGGAGTATTCCTAGTGAATTAAAAGCCAGTACAGTAGGCTCCGGTTATAGTCATACCAAATGTTGCTTGGAAACTTGTGACTGTAGCCAGTCGTGACTATGCTTGGAGTCGACTTCACTGGTCATACTTTCTTCTTTATCATTTTAAACATTTTTCATGGAATGAAGGTGAATAAAAACTATACATAGAAATTAGAATCATGGCTGGGTATATAACCTATATTCAACCAATGGCGGCGCCAACTATTTCGCCCTGGGGGGCGGGGACAAAACAAAATGTTTTAAGGCCACGCCCTCTTTAGCACAAAAACGCCCTTTTACCAACAAGGAACGCCAATCTTACCTGAAGGGAAGGCCAATGACTAACGTTTGGCTATGTAAAGACAGTTTAAAAGTCACAGGATTACATCACAAAAAGTAGGTTGCCAAAATAATTACCCTTTCCCTAACATTTTCTAACCAGATTTAGACGAAAAACAAAGTTTTTCCTGCCGAAAACTGGGGGGGGGGGTACATGCCCCCCAGCTGCTGCTGTATTCAATTTACAAATCTCGAAATAATCCTCCACATTATCTGGTGAAAACTCACCACTCTACTTCCGATAGCCAGGATTAAGATCAGTTTGCATTGCAAAGGAATTTTTTAATGGTGAATCGAGAGTTCCTACAAACTGTAAATCTTAAGTTAGAAAAGGAGGCGCCATGTCCTTAAACTTTGAAGCGGGTGCAATGTGAAAAAATTTGTTCCTAGGAAAATCAGGGCATATTTCAGATAAGTTCACCTTGTCCTAAGCATATAATAGTAACAAGGCAGTTCTTTGTAACAAAGCTTAAATCTTTGTAAATCTTATTTAGAAAACAGGTTGTATGATTAACAAAAAATGTTTCCTGCCAGAGTCAGGAAAACATTACCGTCGCACGACCACTGACCGGAGGAAGGTCCACAAAAAACAATAGAAGCTCCTATGACACCGCCCACTTTCTATTGTTTTGTGAGGAAGGTTTGCCTTCTGGGATGTTTTTATCTATAGGAAGGTTAACAACTTTTCTGGACTCTGTTTCCTGCTTTATGGTGTCCATTATAAACAGCTTTAAATTTCCCCCACAGTATAGTCAGGGTCTGGAGCTGCTATGGCGTGTTTGGGATCAAACTCACTTTTTTGCTGTAGTATGAAATTAAGGAATAAAAGATTATGGCGGAAAAAGATTATAGCAAAAGTTTGCCAATTCTTTCAAGACACCCCGACTCACCCCAAACTGTACTCCAACGTCCCTGTTTGAAGCGTTTTGGGGAGTTTGAGGGAGCTGAATCTAATATTTCTAATGCCTTTTTGAATTCAGGTTGAAGATGGTATATTTCTTAATAAGTTTAGTTCAAGTCCCCTTCTTCGTTAGCACCAGCTGTTGAGGCAGAAATGCGCCCAGATCGAAATATCCATGCCACACCCAAGAACCATATGTTCTCCCATTTAAATATGTATGTTCCCCCTACTTTGTAAATATATATTTAGTTTAAAGAAAGATTAGGTATATTTTTGCAGTTAGGAACCAAATTCTGCTTTTTCTCTTCGGGTATTTATAAAAGGTTGCAAAATATATTCCTGAAACTAGTTAACCATCATAAAAAGTCAGGAACGCAAAGTCCAAAAACAACTTTAAATTCAACGATGAGAGCCAAAGAAATTGAAGGGATTTCGACAATTTCTGAAGAAGGAAGCTGGTTGTTGATGAAATAAACAGAAAGCTTTATTCGATTTAGATTAGCTAGTTTTGCATATATTGTATACATTGCAGCTATAAAGCATCAAATCAATGAGAATAAAGAGCAGCAACAGCTGGTGCAATGTCAAAACAGATCAACCAGTGCTCGGGAATGGAAATATTGCATTTGTTCGGCAATCTTTAGCTATATTTATTTTCTTTAAAAAAACACGAATAGGTTTTACGATTTAAAGCATAAAGCAGCAGCAATATTTTCCTGTTTGAATGTAATGAGTCTTCCCAAATTTTCTATTGCTACCCTCATTGAAGGGATACCAATCTATGTCTCTTTTGATGATGTTTGGTAGCAAATTTTAACTAAATTGGTAGCTGATTCAGATAAATCGAACTAATTTTTGAGGTGCCTCGTTGCCGTTACTTTCTCGCTGCGAAGGAGCACACATTTTACATGAGGTAGCTTATCAGCCATATTGGTCTTGCTGATTTTACTTTCGAGAAAACGTGTCTTCAGTTATAATCTTCTCTTAACCTGTAAAGACAATGTCAGATAACGAAGAGGAATTCTCAGATGATGACAGAGGGGAAGAAGAACCAGAGGTCTGATTATTTTAAGTTCTGTTCATGTGCTTGGCCTAAAATTGTCCATAACTTCGTCTTATAGAGTGAATGATAAGGCCTTAGGCCTTGTTGATGAAGTTTGTTTATATTTGAGATCTTGTGTGTGCAAAAGCAAATAAAAATTTGTGCAAGAATGCTGACAAAGTGTGCAATGTTTGCACACTGTTTAGTTTTGGTCCAATGTGTGCAGCAAGCTTCTAATGGGCAAAATGCAGCCTAAGAATTTGTCGATTTGTCACACAATGCTTGAGCATAAGTCAGTTACTGTAGACTTTTTTATGTCCCTTGTTAGCAATGGGCAATGCCTCTTGTAACCAGCTTTTGCTTAGGACATTGCGAATAAACTAAGACTGGAGTTTCCCATAGAATTGGAATATGCTTGTCTGTAGATTTTGTATTCTAGGCACCAATGGCTTTAGGGTAGCTATAGGTCATTTCAAAATATCAAATCAAAATACTGAGATACAAGATGATTCCATTGCCATTCTGTAGAAACCTACATGGTGTGGCATTTAAAAATTTTCCTGGAGGAGTACCCCCAGACCCCCCTTAATCTAACTGTACATACCTTTGAAGGAATCTCTTAAAATCTATGCATAATATGCTATTTTTATTCAATCCATTTCCATGCCAAAGCTTTTCAAATTATGAGGAAAGAGCATCTAGAAAAACACACAATCTGCTCACAAATACAGATAAACAATATTAATAATACGAAATTAATATAATTTAATATTAGTTTTGTTTGAATAATAACAGTAAGAATAAAAAAAACAATTTAAAAAAACAGAAATCAAATAATGATTTACAATATGCACAAAAAGTTCAATTGTGTTAGAATGGGAATAAATAGGATTCAAGGTTGTTCCTTTTCAATTGCTCTTGCGAAGAATAGATTGCTGGTTTAGAAAAGCAACATTATTTTGATAGCAACATTTTCAACTTGTGACAATCAGATGGTTCTTATGCTGACCAATACAAGTTAAAGTTATTGTATGAGTGCTAAAATCCTAATTTATCAGCATTTCAGAATTACAAAAAACCTATTGTAACATAAAAATTTGTTCAATGGGTTCACAGGAAATTTGAGTTATCAATTTCTATCAATATCATTGGCTTTTGAAGTCAGACTTTTTATATTGATGTATATAAAATAATTGAACCCAGGGGGAAGATCTTGGTGATGAAGATTCTGAAGATGATGAGCTAGACGATGATGAATATGATGAGGAGGATGAAGAGGAATATGAAGGAAGGAACAAAAAGAGAAAGAAACCAAGTCATGGTGGCTTTATCATTGATGAAGCAGGTAAGCTCTACCTATTTTGGTGGTGAAATATTAATTAGAGAAATGGTTAGTTGCTCAGTCACAACTACTTCTATTTAGCTGCCATGCTTAAGACTAAAAAATATCACTGTCAATGAATTAAGTTTTATTCATTTATTTATTGCACACTGTTAATCTAGGTAGCAACTGTATACCAAACATCCCCTTTGTAATTCATGTTTTCAATTCAAAATTAATAAAATCTGAATGCTGAGTATGGTTAAAATTGATTTGACTCGGTGCAAGAAACCCAGATAATAAGATAGCAACTAAACCAGTCAAATTTTCATATGTTGCTACTGTCCACATTTTGTTATCCTAGTTTACAAAGAATAGTATGTCTTTACCTGAGACAGACCTCCAGTTGCTCGAAAAGCTGCCCCACAGTTTTAATTTTGCCTGATTTTTTAACAAAGATGTAATAACGAGTATTAGACAAATAAATGTCTTAAATTAAGCTTGTGTTTGCTAAAAACAACTTGCAATGTATTTTTGTCAATGTGTGTCATCTGCCCACAGAACATCAGAGTGGTAATCAACAGGCATTCATTTAATTAAACTGAGATATCATGCAAGCACAGGGTCCCTTAAACTCATTTATTACATCCAAAATGCCATTTCATAGCAGGCCTGGAAATGAGCAAAAGCTAGGAGCTTGTTTAATCAAGCCCCCTCGATTCAGTTAGGCGCTTATCAAGCTTCTAAATCATTTTTGTCTTTTGATCAACAGTCTTAAGAAATTTTCCGCGCATTAAAATGAAAATGAACTGTTTTGATGACCTTTAATGTACTCCAAGAAGGATTAAATACTCGATATAAATGTGCTTTTTTTATAAAGTTTATAATGTACATCACCAATATCTTATAGTCGTTATTACCAGATGATCGCAAAAAGTTGTTCCAAACCTTTTATTGCCCAGAAAAAGTGCTAGCGTAGTTACAATGCTAAGTGCCTGTAGTATTCTTAAACATTTGCTGTGGACTTGATTTTCAAATGCATCTTTCTGTTGAGATGTGGTTAATTCAGCTTACTTATATTTCATGTGTTTGTTTTGATTTTAATGGCTTTTATCGTCTATTTTGCTTGCTTGGATCACTAGATTACTAGATTATGTCAAATTACTAGAAAAAATTACATGATCTAGAAAAAATTACTAGAAATGTGTTGATTGATGAGTCATTCATTCCTCACAATTTACTGTTTTGCACAAACAATCTAAAGCTCGCCTGATTGAGTTTGCACAAGTGCTAATGCGATGGCGAGTGATTGCTCGCCTCAAACGAAAAGGCCTGCAACACAGTAGCAAGGCAAATGCAAAAGAGCACATGTGATCTGAACATTACTTGGGATTTGCGAAAGCCATGAAAACTTTACACTTTTGTTTTGTAATGATCAGCTATCAAGCCTGTAAATTTTCTGAGGCAAGTGTGGAGGTGCTCGCGCTCAATCAAGTGTCTCTCATTTTAGGGCCTGCCTCACAGTAAAAAGACATAAAAACATTTCTGTGTTGGCCTCCTAAAGGTTGCATGCGGGCCCTAAAGGTAACTTTAGCCCATAAAACCTTTGGTGTGGTTCACATTTGCATAAAACAATTCTTCTCAATTAGTTTGTTCTTAATGGTAAACTATTAGAGAGGACTCAAAATCAAAGAAAACATCAGAAAAATAAATAGATTATGTAATATCTTCTTTTTTTCTCACACACACTATGGACAAAATGGTCAAATTGCTATAAGTAATTGGTCTATAGTGACACTGGGTAAGCAAACAAAAGCACCATTTGGCAACATTTGGCACTGATATAAGAAACTGTTTTGGAGTTTTTGTTGTGTTTTGGCAAGCTCTATTGTTTTCTATAGTAACACCCAATGTGCACAGGGCAAAAACGATGGGGTCAGCGTTGCAATTGCATTTAATTTGGATACTAAATAGTGCTGGGACACAATTATTTATACTTGTGTAGTAATAGCAAATAGTAAAAGAAATCAAGTTTCTTTGCTATCTGAGGATATTAAAGCCCTCATTGAAGGGCAGAGTCATTTGATGTATAGTGATGTGCTTCTGGCTTTGTCTAGAGCAGTTCATCTATCTATTTTTTTGCGATTTCAATGGTCTAATGCTTTTTCAAATGTAAGATGTAAGATGTTAAGATCAAATGTCAGAGCTGCTTTTGATGTGCTCGTGGCCATTATGATAATGAACTTTAAATCCAAATTGTCTTCAATACTTTATTTGATTTATTTGATAATGTGTCAGGATTTTAGAAACAAAAGACGATAACAAGATTTTTTTCAAGGGCCTGCTATCCTGATTTCATTTATTTCCTTTTGTGTAAACCCAGTATAAGGTCAATTATCAGAAACCTATTATGATTTGACAATTTTATTTTGTAGCCTCCATTAATATTCATGAAAATGTATAAATATTTATTGGATATTTACTGGTTGAAAGAGTAAGGATATCATTGAAAGAAAAATATTTTCAACTTTTTGAAGATTAACCACTTTATAAGATCAAGTTTCATAGTGCAAGCAACTTACCTGATAACACACACATTTCAGTTATGTGTGGATGTTTGAGTATAGCATTATTGACATTGTGTCTGCAAGAAAAGAATCAAGAGCAAACAGATATCTACAAAAGTGTATACATAGGAATTTTTAATGAGAGCTGTTCAGTGGCAAAAACAAATTGAATTCCCTCTGTTCTAAAAGATGTGATATTGCTTAGAGCAATGTTAATCTAAAGTGCTTTTGGCTCCTTAATTTTTGTCATCTTCCAATGTTTATACATTGAGGGTGTCAACAAAAAGTACTTTACCAGTATGCCATGTTTCTGCTTTTCTCCTCTATCTTCAATCTTTCCAGGTTTCTTTTTGGTAGTGCCATAAATAAAAACTTTTATTTTCCAGGGTTTCAGTTTTTTCCAATTTCAAGAGCTGAAATCAAATGAAGCATTGTGTTTGTTTTAAATTCTGATAGCCACGCAATTTGTTGTATTCCCAATCAATCCTGGTATTTGAAAATTATTTTATCTTTTCCAGATGTGGATGATGATAATGAAGATGATGCGATTGATGCTGAAGATGGCTATGTTGATAACAGCAACAGTAAGATCTGTTTTATCTATTAACTATCTCTTAGTTTATTAGCATTTTATGTTTATCATTATAGACAGTATTAAATATTACAAACTGTATTTTAAGGAGGTATTTTTCCACATTTTACTATATTTCCTTCTATGAATTCTACTTGAGATGTTTGAGTCTGTAGCAATCCTGACACAAATAATTTTGTAAATTTTATTTTCCATTTATGCAATTTTTTATCATCCATACTTTTTATAAAAGTAAACACTCAACTAATGTATTTGGAAAACTGCCAAAAATGTTTTGATTCCATCATTGCTACATTCAAATTTTGATAATCAACAAAATGCGTTGATATCAGAATAATTTGGCATATGAACCTGACAGTTCTTAGTTGCAACTGTAAGCTTAATGCTTGATAAGATAATCAGGAAACTGTTGCATTATTGGTCTATGCTGCACGTAGCAATGAATTGAAAACCTGTTAAAAATTAATTTTTATCAAAATCAGAAGAATTTTTTTCAAACAATCTTTTTGTGGTACAGAATTTTAAAATGGCTTTGAAAAGAGCAAATATTTTGAAACATACTCAAGCTTTTTGTCTGACATTCTTCAGATCGGGACACCTCAACAGTCATGTTGTCACATTTCTGATTGGCCTATTTTAATTCACAACTGGGTATAAGTATTCCTACTGTAGAAAACTTTTTGATCTATATTCTGACGTTTCATACTCTGAAGAGAATCAGACGAAAATTTTAAGTATGTTTCAAAATATTTTTGTACAGAAGATAACTCCTTCAAGGCCAAAAGTTAGACATGTACTTTTCGGATGTGATTTTCTTTTGCCTTTCTTCTGGTTGATGGTGTTAACAATTTTTCTTGGTATTGTAGAACTGTTTTATTTTTCTTCCAGTTGATGATAGCTCTAACCTTAGTGGAGAAGATGTTCATGTGAGTGTATTAATAAAGATTTTGTTACTCTGACTTTTCTTCAGTTTACAAGTATAAGACTTTACGTAGCATTCTAGCTGATCCAATGTAAGAATATGTTAATATATTGTGACTTTAATATTCAACAACATCTTAACAGGACCTTGTGTTTGTATAGCGTTGATTTTTTCTGAAATTCAAGAAGGTGTTTGCTGTCCAGTTTTTTTCTTGCCCAATAGAATCATTCATCTTTACAATATTTTGCTTATATTCATTTTCAGGGTGCTCGCAGACTGACCAATCTCTGGAAGTGAGTGCTACAATAATTACTTTTTTTTCTTTTGTCTCCTCACTTTCTTAGCACTTTGTCTTCATTTATAGCATTAAATTGTGTGGAAAATAAGAGACGAAATGCAATTTTTTCCGTCTCTTGAACTTTAGTGCTAACCTAGATGTAAGCCATCTTCGGATTCCAGAGAGGGCAAAAACATTCACAGTTGGAAAGCCAAGCTTTTCACATAGATGAATCAGTTAGCAAACAGAAGTTTGTTTCTGTTGCCCAGTTTGTTTCTGTAAATCTGAATTGAATCCAAACCATACTATGTGTTCCCACAAGATAAGCCACGCAAATGATACTGGATACTCGAGTTTATCTAGTTTATGCAACTGTTCATGTTAATGATACATTCTCTGATAATTCCCTAGCAAATCCTTATTGCAATTCATGAAACAAACTTTTAAAACATTTCATTTGTCTACAAGTTATTGCTTTGGAGAAATTCTGATAAGCGGTTTGGGTTCTGTATTATTTTGCCGTTTGCATTATGAAAAACTTGAGTGCTCTACAAGCTAGAAACTTTGAGAACTGGGATTTCTGTTTCCGTGTTTCTTCAGCATGGCTATAGTTTCGCTTTGTTCGAGGTTTTAGCGGCTCTGTTGATCTTGCAAGCCTTTTCTTCGTATCGTAAGAAGATGCGAACTTCCAGCAATCATTAAAGAGAGCGATTTATTCTATTTTTCAGCCTTGCTACATTGCACTTAAATCTTTATTAGTCGTGAGAAGCAATCTTAAAATCACGTCTGTTTAAGCGATTTTGGACACTCAGCTCCAGCATGATATGATGTCATAGACATGTGAACTGTATATGTATATGCAAGTTTTTGATATAATCAACGCTAATATTGAGCGTGTGACTAGAAGTATTCTGCTCTCTTAAGAGATCTTTGCGTGACAATGGGGGCCTGGGAAATATTTTTAACGTTTATCTTCGTGCGTTGGTGTATAGAACAGGACGTTTCGAAATTACAACTTTGTGTCTTGCGATCTTTTTTCATGCGTCTTGCGATCTTAAAAACACACAGCTTTGAATGAGATGTTTCCATTTTTTTCACGACCCAGTTAATGCGGTCTAAGGCCCCTTTGTTGTTTTAAATTGCGTTAAAACATAGGCAGTTTTGCCTTACACTGTGACAATGAACATTTGAATATTAAGATATTCGGTAAATTAGTAGTACTCTACGCCGTTTAAGCAGGGCGGTTGGTACCGTAAAATTTGAAAATAGTAGTCGAACAGTTAATTTTAATTGATGTTAGATTTAAATTTTCTTTGCATAATTTTCCGCCACATCTTTTTTTTAAAATTCCCTATGAAGTGCTTTATTTTTACTCAGTTGACCTGTAATTTAATCTTATTTTTTTCTTTTACAGACAGGAAACAGTCGAAGATATTGCAGAGTATTTCAAACGTAAATATGCCGCCACAGAAAGGTATACACATCTATAAATCTAGATATTCATAAAATGTTCAAAAAGCTCCAAGACTTTAGTTCTATCGCTAGCGTGGAAATGTTTATTTGAAGTCGCAAAATTTAGAAGTCCTGTTAGCGGTTTCTAATTGGTCATGTTGCTTTCGATCAACACCTGCGTACAAATTTCCTTTCACCTTCTGATAACCTTTAGGCTTTATTTATTTCTATTTGTTTTGGCATTTTCTCATGTTTCCAAGTGGGATTTTGTTGCTATCACTTCAAATGATTCCTATCTTGCTCCCTTTGCATTGCCTTTTTCCTCTGCTCCTTTCTAGATGAATTTCTTAATTTTCTGAACAAATATTCTAACGATTCTTATAAGCATTTTCTTATAAGGACTTGAACCAAGACAAAGAATCGAATTACTAAATTGTGACTTATCATACTTGACTTGGAGTCTTTTTTCAAACGTTCTTCAACTTGTTCAGGGCACTGAACTCGATAACCCCCTAGGTTTACCTCGGTGTCCTATGCAACACTTAACGAAGATTCTTTCATAATTTCTTCCTTCGTTCTGTTTATGACAATAGATGTGTTGCAGTAAAAAGACCTCTAGTAAATATCTTGCTAGAATGTTGCTTAATGAAATGAAAATGAATTTGCAGAATACGAGTAGAATTTTGTCTCGCGCTTTGAAATATATCATTTTATTTTCGTTTAGCTACCCAGATGGTAATTACGAAACTCCTGAAGACATCGAGCAGCAGGGGTTACTGCCTGGTGTGAAGTAAGTTGCTTCCATATGAACACTGCTTGTGCAGCTGGTATTCTGACGCTAGTATACACTCAGTTCTATGAAAATTGTACCTTAAATGCTGCAGCAGGGTCTCTCAAGATTAGCCAGAAGCAGGAGCGTATTGATACTGCAAGTATTGGGGGGAGGGGGGTTTAAAAAATTTACTGTTAGATGACAATTGAAACCTTGAAATACTTCGTGACTCTTCAACATATCATACCATAGCCCCCCCCCCCCCGTAACATTGGTCACCCTTTTCTATATGTGACGAATGCCACTCATTACCCTTTTACTTGCACTGTCTCTATAAACATTTACCAGCATGGTTTACTGCCGTCAATAAAGACCTTCCATACTTACATAACTAGTTTAATATAGGTTATTATAATAATCATAACAGCCATAGATTTTATTGTCATCAGCATAATGACTTCTTGAAATGTTTTTCAGTTAGCTCGCCAGTCGTATTTAACCAAGCTCTTCCTCATTTTAGAGACCCAAGTCTTTGGATGGTTCGATGTCGAGTAAGTAACCTATTGCAATCTTACAAAACATTTTCATCCTGAAACTGTTTTGGCAAAGACTTACGTCTCATGTGGGTCCTATGCTAACTCATATCGCCGAAAAATATTTTCTGTTTTCGTGTATTTATTGTTCTGGCTATTCTTCTCTTCAGCATATTATTACACTCAGTTAGGCATGTAAACGAGAGTGTTTACAAATCTATCCCTTGCTACAGACAGGCCTTGCTAAAGTGCGCTCGCACGCAAGCCATGCCCATCAAATTACGTCTGCAGGCACATCTAAAAAAGCGCACTTTTTCAGAGTTTTTAACTGTTTATGAATTTAAAGAAACAATTCAGCTACAAATTTCACCATGTTAATATTAAGCTTTCCCGCTTTGTGAAAGTGATTTGGGTAGCAAAATGAGAATAACAGATTTTCCTAACCGCAAGCAAATGTTTTCTTTCTGTCGTAAGCTAAAGTTTGTTTAAGCTCTATGATACTATTTTTTGTTGATAAATCTATCGTTATTCTAAAGTAATTTTATGTTAATGGTCTTTGCGTAATTAAACCTTACTTTATTTCTCTAATTTAAACAATTTTGTATCCCTGGTTAAAGAGCTCTTGAGAGTATCACCGGCTAAGACCTTTCTGCTCAACGAATTGTGTTGTGATCAAATGTCTTATTTGTGTTACTTCACTTATATTACGTCATCAACTTGGCTTTTGTGCCAGCATGCAGAAAGACATTCAATTTACAGTTTTTATGTTTGAACTAACTTCATGTCGTCTTTTTGTATTAGATTGGAGAAGAAAAGCAGACAGTCATTGCACTGATGCGTAAAGCTCTGGCATTGGAAAACACAGAAAATGTATGTTTCGCTAACACAACTATCACTTTTTTAGGCTTCAAAGTCATTTGCAGTGATAGTTGCCAGGCTTTGTAATTCACTTCTTTCTTTGACACCGAGGTATTGTGGGTTCCAGTGCTACTCTGGTCATGTCACTTGCTCAAACTAAATTTTTGTATCATTCATCTTTCCATGATGTTTTCAAAAATCCCTTTTTGCACTCCCTTACTACTACTTAATGTTAGTTTTGCTCTATAAGTTAGCTTTAGTTTATATTTTTTAAAGTTTTATCTACCGTCAAGCTTTATCTGCCAATAAGCTACTCTTTTACTTGATCGTGAAGAATAGATTAATATTTTATGCTTAAAATAAACTTGTATTCTATAAACAGATGGGTAGATTTATTTATTGAATGGCCAATCAGTTCGTTCGTCCCATGCGTTTAGTCACGTGTCATATCACCTGCTACCTCTCAGTTGTCAATCAATGGTTCGTATTCGCACGCTATTGGTGTATAGAACCGGACGGTTCTAAGTTGCTACTCCGAGTTTCACGCCTAATGCGATCATCAGGCAACTTCATGTAAAATAATTGGGGATTGGGCCAGCGCGTGTTGAAATGGTTCTTTATGAATGATGTCGGTAGCGAACCCAAGAAGATTTAAAGCAAAATGCTTTTTCCAAACTTTTTCCAATTTCTACAAAGTGCCTAAAGTCGGGTTGTTTTTGTCTAAAATTCACTATTGATTACAATGTACCGGTCTGTTCTATAGTTATCGATTCCAAAGGAAGAGACCTTTACAAGCTTTGTTGTGAAGAACAGGATGGTTCTAGGTTGCAATTTTGAGTTCCACGCTTAATGTAATCATCATCATTATGATATTTATTCTGTCATCAAAGCTTATGTTGCCATGTTACATAAAGAACCGTCAATGTTCTGTTTCAGGCAATACAAATCAAGTCTGCAGTTGCTCCAGAAGGACTAAAGGGGTACATCTACATCGAGGCCTACAAACAGAGTCATCTCAAAAACGTGTGTGATGATATACAGTATCTTCTTCTTGGAAACTTGTGTATCACATATTCATTTTAAGAATAATATACTTAAATTCTATGTAGCATTGATAACATTTATGCCAAGAGGTACGAGAAGTTCCCTTTAGTAGTAATGCCAGAAGAAATAATTTATGACAGGTAGCATCAAGTATTTTAAACTATCAATCAGTGGCGAACACCTGGGGGCGAGGGGGCGACCGCCAACCAATTACTTTAGAGGACAATGATCTTTTATTCTAAAACAATGGGAGATGTGATGTCATCTTATTATAACAATAGGCTTGCCCCCCAATATTTGATCAAGTGTCCGCCCCTGCTATCAATCCTCCCTGAATATTGTTCTAGTGTGTTTTTAGCATTACTGCGAATTCATTTAATAATTTTGTTTAGTCATTCAGTTTGCTTCATGTGACAAGGAAAATACAGGAATTCCCATTAAAAAACCTAAAAATTTGAGAATCTTCAAGCTGCCTTTCTATAATTAATCACCTAAAGAACTTCTTCGGATTGAGAAATATGCATAATTCTTTATTTATATAGTAGTTATGTTCATATAATTTACCAGTATTTATGTACTCGCCTTTCGGCTTTAGCATCTGTTGATTTCTTCTCTATTTAGGCACATACATATATATATATTGGGCGCTATCTGGATCTGTGATCTATCTATTTAGCAAATATTATCTCAAAATTGGCGCCCAACATTTTATTCTGGCCTTTTTTCTTTCCAGTCGTTACCCAATTATTCGATAAAAAGTGCGAATGTCATTGCCAACAACACCAGTTTTTACATTGATTGTCTCTTTTTAGTTTGTTTGTTAAAGCTGCTGTCAGCAGAGTGGGCTCTATTATATTAAATGCTGTAAAATAATCATTATTTTTTAGGCGATTGATGGCTTTGGTGCTTTGAAGATGGGGATTTGGAAGCAACAGATGGTCCCTATTGGAGAAATGGCTGATGTGCTTAAAGTCGTAAAAGATGTTGTGCAGGTTAAACCCAAATCTTGGGTTCGATGTAAAAGAGGGATATACAAAGATGATATAGCTCAGGTAACGAATAAGCACTTTCCTTTATATCCACTTAGATTTGCTTCATAATTATGTACTTCATTTCGCTGCTCTTAAATTTGCTTTATGATTGCACCATTAAATTTGCTTTGTAATTGTACACTCTAATTGTACACTCAAACTGGCTCCATAATTCTGCATTTAATTTTCCCTTATAATTCTGCACTCAAATTTGCCTTTTCGGCTGCTCTTAAACTTGCTTTATGATTGCACCATTAAATTTGTTTTGTAGTTCGGCACCTATAGGTCATAATCATGCACTCAAATGTGCTTCATATTGTCATATTTAAATTTGCTTCACAATTGTGTACTCAGATTTACTTTGTTATTGCACATTTCCATTTGCTTCATAATCGTGGACTACAATTTGCTTTTAGGCTCTTCGCTCAAATTTACTTCATGATTATGCCATTCAATTTGCTTTATAATTCTGCAATCAAATTTTCTTTATAATTTTATACTATAAACATAGCTAGGTTTTATTTTAAAAGGTAGAAAGAATCTAATGAGCAACACCAGACTTCATATTTGAATCATAATACTTCATGTAGCACCGGGAAATCCAAATCTCTATAGTGAAACCTCAAAGTCTTTCAACCCCTTTTGAACATGAGGAGTTTTTAGCAACTAAAGAGTTTCTCGAACTTCAGTCACAATAGCAAAGTATTTCAGATAATGGGGTTGATATTAGTTGAAGAAAAGTCAGCAATGAACGTCTCAATTTCATTTAAATGTTTTGTGACTTTACGAAAATGTTTTGGGACTTTCGATTTAAAGCCTATCCTGTAGCTCTGTCTCTTGTTTTAAACTGGTTTTTGTAAGTAAAAATGTTACAGGAAACTTCAGTATAATTTAATGTACTTTATATTGATATGCCAGACTATTTATGTACGGTTTTATTAACGTGGATTTAGTAACTTTTAAGTATTAATTTGTGATGAAGAAAGTGTGAAACGTCATCTTATGAAAGTGTGAAAAATAGTGCAAAGGTAGAGCATATACTTAACAGTTTGATAGAGATTGAGATTCAAATTATTAGAATATGATAAGTAAGTAAACAAATGAATTATCGATGATTGGTAAAGATTATCAAATGCTGCATTGTGTTTTCTAAGTTATAGTTTGAGGAAACTTATTTAGAAACTGGAATATTGTTAATAAATCAGTTTAAAGATCTAGGTTGTCGAGAGTTATTTTTGTTTCTTTAAGTGGTGTATTTTTATGTAATAAGACTAATCATTATGGTCCTTATTTTCAGGTTGATTTCGTAAACACAGCACGTAACCAGGTAATTTGGTTTTCATGTGTTCTTATTATTTGTCCTTATGGTACTTCTTTGGTATTAAGTTGACTGGCCTATTCTCATTCATTACATTTTCATTTTATCACCTCATATCCATTGTCATTTAATAAATACTAGATATGAATTACAATAACAAAATTATAGACTATTGAGAAGCTACAAAAACAACTTTTCAGAGAGCTTTTGTCTGCATTTCATTCTTTAAAGGATAAACGCTCTCAACAATTAAGCTAATCGAGAAGAGAGCACTGTCTAGGCGAAAACCAAAGCTGTCGACATTGATTGTTGATAAAGATGTAATCAGTTTAAAACATGAATGCTTATATTAAGAAGTTATAGGATGACCAGACAAGCATCACATACCCCATTTACCGGACTAAATTATGTTTGGTATAGAGTTCTAAAGTGTGACGTCACCAAGAACCTATTTTTGAATTTTAACCACATAACATAAAAAATCACTATGAAATACTTTTAAATATGCAAGATTGGCCAAATATGTCTAAAATCGGTTGAGGTATGGCCAATAGAAGATCTGAAGTTTGCTAATGGATAACTGCTATTTTGGCTGTGTTCACAAAGTTATGAACCGAGATCAAATTACAGAGGTTTGATGGGGAGAGAACCAATAAACATGTGGCCATATCTCTGCCAATTTGAACACACTTGACTGATTTTGCACATTTAGGAGAATTTCATAAAAAATTCTGAAAAAAGATTTTGTGATGTCATCACTTTAGAACTCTGTACGACTGAGTTGTGGCTGAATGATTACTTCATGCATGTTTACTCTACAGTTTGATACAGATATATGTTGAACAACAAAGATAATTTTCACAACTACCGCTAATTGCATGTCTATGTGAACTTGTTACTACAACTGACCAAGTTTACAGTACAGTCACAGTACAAAAGTAGCTACAACAGACCAGGACCGTCGCTAGTTATCGTGTTGAATAGCCAACAAAGTGGGTAAGCCATCCTTAATTTTCCGGCGAGTCTGAAAATTTGCCCACTTGGCGAAAAACGTGCGAGGGTGTTATCCAAGGGGCTGTTACACCCCCTCAACGCGCCACCGTAGCGACGGCCTGGAACAGACCACCGACGTTTCAAAGAATTTCCAGCAGTTTTCCTTGTTTCTATTTGTTTATTCAGAACACATATCTGTTTAATTGCAGGTCACAATCAAACTTATACCAAGAATAGACTACAATCAAATGCGAGGTGCAATGAAGTCAGTAAACGTGAGTTGTTCATCCACTAATGCACCGTTCTTAGGCACGTTATACTAAACATGTTATTCAACATTATTGTAGTAATTACGTAATGTCTAGTGCCAGATCCCTAGGAATGATATAGCATGTCATGGGATCAAAGAAGGAATTTAAGTATATTTAAATCTAAAATGGCATGATCTGCGCCTCTGGTTCTGAATGCAAAAACTAGATTGTTTATAGAGCAGAACACACAGGTGCAGAAAATGGGAATATAAAAATCATCATTGCATCTTCTTGATTTCGATCGTCTCTAAAAACGAGTTACCAGTTTGCTAGTAAGTCTTGTTGTTATATGCATATCCCAGTGATATAAATCCAAGGTTCTCTGCTGTATAAGCTTAGTAAATGTAGCAGTTTGTCGCTTATGGAAAACAAACCAACTTTAATTGAACTCTTTGAGACAAAAGAAGCTCACCGTGTTTTTATTCTTATACTTGTTTGTGTTTCAATCCGCAAGGAGCAAGCTGAGAAGCGGAAAAGACGAAGAAGACCTCCGCAGAAATGGTTTGACCCAGATGCCATCAGGTACAGCTTTTCTCATTAGACCAAATCTTTCAACTATGTTCTAGCCAAGTAATTCTCTGGTACCGGAAATCTGGTAGCGGAAGATGCGTTTTTACTCTTTAAGACGAAAAGTACTTAAGATTGCTATGCTTTCAATTTTCCGTCTTGTTCTATCTTCAAACTATATTTTACTGCAAGAAAAATAGGCTTGACCTAGACTATGTTTTTACAACCAATAAACATTCTACTACCTCTTATAATGTTTGCAAGTGTTATACGTGCAATTTTTTTCAGTCAACATAACATAAGATCCCTTTTCGTGATTCAGATATATTACAATGTAAACAAACCCCCTTGGTAGAAGCGTTTGGAAGGAAAAATTATTTAAAAGTCAAATTTTGTTTGCACTTTCCATTTTTGAAGTTTCTTTTTTTCAAATACTCAGGGAGATTGGTGGCGAAATTACTCAGGATGGTGATTTCTTTATCTTCGAATCTAATCGATACAGAAATGGTTTTCTGTATAAAAATATTGCAATGTCAGGAGTGGTGCGTTTCACTTACAATTTCTGTCTTCACAAATATTCTATCTGCATTACACAAGTTTTTTCAAGGCTTTTTAATAGTTCGTTTTTCAGGCAATTTACTTGAAATTGCATATAGTATATAATATTGGTGGATTTTATTATCATTTTCTTGTAATTCTGTTATTTTTAATGGCTACCTACGCAAAAGCTTGATTGTTTATTTTTGCGATATGTTTTATAATAGTAAAAAGGTGTCAAAGTATTGCAGAATTCAATGTGCGTTCGTCTTAAAACCTTATTTCAAACTAAAATGTTTGTTTTTTTCTGTAGATAATCGAAGGCGTCAAACCAACACTAAGTGAACTTGAGAAATTTGAAACATCAATCGATGATGCTGAATTAGAGCGTAAGCTTTTTCTCTGTTATTAAAGGGGCCTGTGCAACCAGCAGGCTTTTCGCGCTCGCATTTGTTTTGTTTTTCTATCTGTGTTCTTTTATGCAAGACAAAAATGGCGAGGAGAATTCGATGGGAAATTTCTGGAATCAATTTAGCGCTTCAGATCGTTTTTGACAGCTTCTATTTGGTTTCGTTTTGCGCGCAGCTTGTGCTAACAGCTTTCCACCATTTTCATGGACCACGAAAATAGCCGCCTTCCCAGCTTACGCCCGCAAAGGCTACTGGTTGTCCACGCCCCTTTAAATTTATTTTATTTTGTTTTGTTTTTCTCTCTCTCTGTTTTTGCAGCCAGATTCTAGAGGGATGCATGGCTATAACTTCTTAATTGGACTGGCCTTTAATTTTAATGATTTTAGACATTGAGAATATTCCTATATCAAGAGTATTTAGTGTAGTGAAATACACAATCCACTGGAGGGATATAAAAGAAGATGGTTAGTAGATGTTAGAAGAAAAGGAGGTCCTGGAATGAATTTTGAAAAAAATCCGAAAGCGTTATAGCAAGGACATCGCTTAGATCTTGTGTATAGAGAATACAGGTAAATATATGATTAGAAAGACTGTGAATTTTTTTGAGTTATAAAACTACAAATTCTATCCAGGGTGAACAGTGTGATAACCTGTTATATCGTGCAATTTATGTGTTTATTCTTTGACTTTGATAAGTGACTGGGAAGAAAAAAGCAGAGGAGGCAACCCATAGTTTCGCGCCTGGTGACATGGTTGAAGTAATCGAAGGAGAACTGATTCATCTGCAAGGGAAGGTTTTGACGGTCGATGGAAATGCGATAACCATTATGCCGAAACATGAAGACCTCAAGGCAAGGAATCATTTTATTGCTTTTGTCTTTAGAGTAAAAGAAAATTTGCATCTCGAATTTTTTGAGAAAAACATCACGGTTCAATTTCAGCTATTCAACTGCTTACTAATAAGAATTTATCTTAAGTAAATTCTCTTCAACTTTTTCTACTTCAAATAGAATTTTCCTCACATCCTCGGTCATTGGCTGTATCATGTGTTTTACTTTTTATGTTGACAATTTTGTGTTGGTGTTAGATTTATTTCTTTTTCAAAGTGATATATTTGAAATATTTTCATTAGAAATCAGTACTGTATAGATTTGATTATCGTCAGCCATTATAGTTTTTTGATATCTTCTTTTTGCTTCTTTATTAAGATATCTAGCTTGCAGTTTTCTTTCATATTTGATTAGAAAAATTTTAAAGATTTAATTTTTCTCATATTTATTAAAACTTCATAAAGTTCTTCTGCGTTGAAGGGCCTCTTCAGCTAAAACGTGAATTCCTTTTTCTTACTTTTCTTTCTTTCTTTCTTTCTTTCAAACAAAGATAATCAGCTCAAACCAAAATAATAGGCCAAAGTAAATTTACAGCGTACAGTGCAAAATAATTTTCGAGCAATCAAGCAAAGTTTCATTTAAGCAATTTATCACAAAAATACGAAACTCGGAGAATAAACGATCTCCAAATACCTAAACTACGGCTGGAACTCTCAAAGAAAGGTTTTTTCTACGTCGGTGCAAAGGTCTGGAATGATATCCCGAATGACATAAGAAATGTGGAATCTACTGACCTTTTTAAGCACAAAATGAAAACCTATCTCTTGGGCCAATAAAGTAAAATTTATACAGAAAAACGAGATCCCTAGCATGGCCACCTGGTAGACCAGTTTAAGTTTGTTAAAGTTTTTGTTTTTGTTTCATATGTAACTAACACTATTTATTTTTTAGTAAATTTGTAACTGAAGGTGTATCATGAATAGTATGAAATATGGAATATGTCTTTGTTCGGCTTTCTTAGGAAAGGCTAAACCCTAAACCCTATTTCGAATTTTGCAATGGAAGCAGCTAAATCATACTCCACGCTGCAGATACTAAATTTTGAGTGGACGAAAATGAATACGATTTTTTTGGCTGGAGGAGCCCTTTAAAATTATAATTCTGTTGTTGATGATCTTAACATTTCATTGTAATTGTTCATAATGTGGTGAAATGCAAACTCTCCTTGCAGGATCCGTTGGAGTTTCCTGCAAATGAGTTGCAAAAACATTTCAAAGTTGGTGATCATGTCAAAGTAATTGCTGGACGATATGAAGGCGACACAGGGTTGATCATCAGGGTGGAAGATAATGCAGCCGTTCTCTTCTCAGACCTAACCATGCACGAGGTATCAGTTCGAAATTCCCATTAATAGAACAGCCTATTCCCCCGTCTTTCTGCTAAATATTTGGCGATTTTGCCCCAGTACCTGGATGTGAAAAGATGTATTTGCATGTAATTCGTAATGTTTGTCTGAGGATTAGGCACGATAGTGGAAACAGCTTGAAAGTAAGATTTGGTTTGAGGAGAGAAACTTATTGATCTACCTTGTTAACTTTGTGGTTATATATACATCATATTGTTGACTTTTAAAGTAATATAGAATTTCCTTGATAGCCCCTTTAAGACTTTGACGGTTTTTTGTCACATTTGGACTTGGAGGCAAATAAATTAAGATTTATTATCTAGACCCATCGTTTGGGCTATAAGAAGGCTGTAGATAAATCGTGTGGCTGTATCAATGAAGCTGTTACATATTTATTTAAAAACTAGATAGGTTGTTTTAACTGAAACGTTTTCTATTATGATTTTCAGTTGAAAGCAAAACCTGACGATTTGCAGCTGTGTACTGACGTCAGCAGTGGGGTCGATTCTCTGGGGCAACATCAGTGGGGGGATCTGGTACAGCTTGAGTGAGTAACAAATGCTCTTGCAGTGCGAATGATCGCAAGTTTAGAGTTTGCCTTTGTATATATCTTGATGTTTTGTGGCCTTATTATGATGGCAATAGGGGTTGCTGTTATAGACCCTTCCATGTTCACGACAATTTGAGACTTTTGGGAGTAGAAAGACTTTGTTTCTTGGCAAGAATATCGCAATATCTATTGTTAAAAAGTAAAGGCCTATTGGTTTTATAAATTTAGAAGTGGTATATAGGGGACGAGACTGTACTTCTACTTTGCTCCCGGTTGTACTCCATTGCTCAGTATATCCAGACATTATCTACATACTGATATCGAGATGAGAGTTGTACAAATCACTACTCGATAATCGTTTCATTTGACCAATGAAAACTCTCTTAATTTGTATAGGTCCTCCTGATTATTTTGAATAATTGTTGGACTTTTTTAACCATGACCACTTTTTAACCATGGAGACTGTTTGGTTCAAAATCTCTGTTCTCTTCATCCTCCTTGTTAGAAAATATTGAAAAATACCGTTCTAACTAGTCGAATTATGAGCACGTTGTCACTCACATTTTTTTCAGTTATCAAAATTTTTGACAATAAAACAGTAAAGCGGAATCAAAATTTCGATACGTATCCCACATTTTAGTATAACCTCTTTTGCAACCTCTTCTTTTTGGAGACGAGGCAAAACAAACTGTCTTTTCCAGTAGTTGAATAATTTGCTTTTGATGTTGACAGCCCACAGACTGTTGGTACGATCGTCCGTTTAGAGAGAGAAACGATTTCCATTCTCAATCAGCATGGCAAGGTAATTTTTTTTCTCATTATCCTGTTCAGCCTCAGCAAAATATCACATCAACTCAAGTTATATTCGATCACAGTTAAATGAAATTTTATAATTTTTGCTTCTACAGAATCTCTATCAAAATGCAAATTATTTCCTCAAAATGCAAATTAATTCAAATTATTTTTGGGCATTCTGGACTGTCTAATAACAGTTCAGAGCTTATCTTTATGACCGATTTCTTCCGACACCTAATGTGTGACAAACTTATTATTGACTATTGTAATTCTGTTGAATTGTAAGCACCATCTGCAGTTGGGATCAGATGACTATATGTCCTTCCCCACTACATGGTGCAAATAAAGTAAGTTGTTTTTGTCTTTAGGTTTTGATTTATAATAAAAAAACTTTCCTCTGCTGTTGTCGAAGCAATTTTTTTGGTCGAGTTTATTTCTTGGTACAGTGTGGAGGTGCATTCTGCAACCTCCTTTCACCTTATGAACAGCCTCTTTTTCGCTTAAAATTTTTGGTCCCTTTGTTTGCTTATCAAAAGTTTTCTATATTTCTGAGCCTTAATGTCCTTTTATCTTCTAGGTAGTACAAGTGAAGCCCCAAGCTGTAAGTAAAAGAAAAGACCGAAATGCGGTGGCTCTTGATTCTGAACAGGTTATTATCCTTGTTTTTTGCTTTTGCTTCAGTTTTGTTGACAATTTCGAATCACTTCAAATCATATCCTTCTCTAGAGTCCAGCAAGTCAACAACTCCTATGTTTAAAGATCCTTTGTTCTACTAAATGTCCCTGTTTACGCTTTGGCATATTAAATCTCCCTGTTCTAAGTTCCTAGGAGGGATTAAGTACGATGGTAAGATTCCCACTTTGGACAGTTTGATATCGACGTATTTCAAACAAAGCTCGTATTTGCCTGTGACCAGTTCTACTCATACAACAACTTCTAGAGCGATGATAATGGCATCCATGCAGGGTTCCTACTTTATCCAAATATGCTTAAACTGTGATGGTACCTAATGGCATACAATAGACCTAACTTTAACCTATCTAGATCCTTTCTTGTTAAGTCTGCTTCAAAACTTTCTTTCTTAGCCCGGAGCAAGATACCTTGTCAACGAGTCGCTTAAATTATTTCATCTTTTCAGTATCATGTTTGAAAATCCACAGATGTTTGCCAATTAGAATTGACAATGTATTTATGATTTTGTTTCTAGTTTCATAAAAACTATTGTAATCAGAAGTATGAAACTATTCACTGGTGCAGCTTGAATTAATTACGACGTGACCCTGTAGGAAAAGACAGAATTTTATTTAATACTTTAATCCTATTTTTGCAGAATTCGATTCAAGTTCGAGATATTGTTAAGGTCAATGATGGCCCAAAAGCTGTAAGTTTGATTAAAATTCACATGTCTATTTGATTTTGTTTTTCATTTTATAAAATCTTCTATCATGTCTTTGGGCAAATTGTATTTTGATATAATTGTGTATACTTATAATTGGCCGGACACAGAGAGTCAATTTTTTCAAGTTGAATTCCGGATACAGAAAATGTGTGTATTTTTCGTCAGCTGCTACTGAATCATTTGTTCAATTGAGCATGGTCACTCATTTTAGTTTATCAACTAGCCTCAGTTGAAATGCCGCCATCTTGTTTTTCAGATAATAACCCTCGACCTTAACCTTGTTCGCTCCAACCTTTCTCGAAGGAGATTTGTTCTTAAAACAGCTCTTCCCATTTCTGTGTTTGATTCTCTATTACCATGTTTTTGTTTCCAGGAACTCGATACACTTGGGGAAAGGAAATCTTTTTGAATTTGTTGCGTTTAGGCCCGTTTTAAGAACAGCAACCTTTATAACATAACAATAATATTAATGATGGCCAAGTTAATACAGCCAGTTTCTTTAGAGCTACATGATTATACTTTTTGCAAAGAACCAACATAACATTTATAATATAGGCGTTTGTATCAGCCGTTGTGATTATTTAATACTCTTACTAATATTACAAGCCTTGATCTTTGTGTCGTACACAATACTTGTAAATACGCGTACTTCTCTTTACAGTCAGAGCTTAAAGACTTCAATGAAATAATACTATCTTCTTGTTCTTGTACAGGGCATGCAAGGAGAAATCAAACATCTTTACCGTGGATTTGCCTTTATTTCATCCAAGCTGATACTTGAAAATGGTGGCATATTTGTTGTAAAGACCAAGAATCTTGTTCTAGCGGGAGGAGGCAAGGTTTGTGGCTACCAGTCTTTAGGAACTTGTACACAAATGCTTCAGATTCAGTCTCTGTGCATCTCATGCGCCATAATTTTGCTTAGTATCAGTATGTTCTGTTAAGTTGTCTAAACTAACTCTGGTTACGACTTTCTTGCCACAATAAGCTGTAATAAATTGATTGGTGGACCACTTGTCTGTTCTTGGTAAGCGTTGTGAACGTCTATTTAGGGCATTCCTATGAATGTATAAGAAAATGAAGCAAGTGAGAATTTTCTTTGATTAATGATTCTCTTTGTTTGATTATTGTTCGTAGTAATATTCTTTGTATTGATATATTATCCTGGCCAGTTTAAAAAGAGCGTCTCATCATCTAGGCTGCTACTAACTCACTTGGTGGCCTAAGTGGAGGCTTTGCACCGATGTCGCCTAGGAGTCAGAGCCCTGCTAGAGACGGAGGAGGTGAGTATCGAATACATGTAGTGCACCCTTCTAAACGATTGTTGCGAAACTTGCAGTCCAGTTGCACTTGGATCTACGGGAATACTTTGACCAAAGGCTTAGCAGATAACAGTGAGATTTGATGTCACTAAATGGCAAATATGAAGATTCAATAATTTCACAGATATTCAATAATCATCCTTTAAAACGATTTGCTTGTATAATAGTAATTAAGTAGGTATCAACACAAAAGCTTTCAATCTGCTATCATTGAACGGTAATGGTCTAGTTGTCGTAACATGGTGAGCATTTGACTTTCGATGTGGTTAATTATCTAAATGGGATAGGGAGGTTAAGTTGGTCTAGTTTTATTTTCTTCTCTTGTCCTTTTGGGAGAAATATAGAAGAAATAGGAGAAAGAAAAATAAAATGTTTATAAAAAAGATAAATGACAGAATGCAGAAGAAAATGGTAAAGGATGCAAAAAAGGATTATTACGGCTCCTTTTTTCTGACTTATAGAATTAGAAAGAGTTTGAAGATATGACTGTGGGGTGGGGGAATTAGAGAAGAGGGAGCAATTGAAAAAGAGAGAGAGGAAAGGAAAGGAAGCAGGAGAAAGAAAGGAGGTTAACTACAAAATGAAATGGAGAGAGTGAAAGTAGAGAGAAAATGGAAGGCGAAAATCAGGTTATACCTGCCTCGTTACATCTTTGAATACAGTAAGGAATCAAGATGATGTTCTCCTTGCTATCAAGAGGTGAACCTAAAACTGCTCTGAGCTCTGTTCTGTTTGTTTCAGGAGGTGGAGGTGGAGGTGGTGGTGGTGGCGGTGGTGTTGGTCGTGGAAGAGGTGGTGGAATGGGAGGCGGAGGAAGAGGGCGTGGATACAGAGACAATACCGTCATTGGTCAAACGGTCAGGATTGCCAAAGGCCCTTTCAAAGGTATCAGCGTAGTTTTATATCATCCATGGTGTGATTTCTATTTGTTGTTAAGTAAGCATAGGTTCAGTTTTGCATTTTTCATAGGCTAACATTTGTATCTTCAAGTTGTTTTTATACCAATACAATTAACATTCATTAACTTCAGTTATCCATAGTTTCAAACGACATGCAACGTTTTGGTATTACGCTCTTCATTCTTCGTGTCTACATGTTTACCACATATGCATTACGAAACACAATGCAAGCCTTTCAAACATTCTTTACGAACTTCAGTACGAGTTTTCACCAAATTTCGGAAAATTCATTATTTTATAGACTTAAGTTTAAATACTGGAGGGTATACTTACTAAATCACGACTTTTACCTTTTGAGTCACAAGCGACGAGCCTTCCATTTACGAGGCCATCCTTTTAGACAGTAAGAACAGATGCCCAACCATCTTCTTTTTTTCCTTATTTTATTATGACGACCTGGCAAAAGTTATAGGATACTTTCTTAATTCCCTTTTGGCAGCGTTATTAACAATTGTAATATTTTGTATATTTAGGCTATATTGGAATTGTCAAGGATGCAACTGAAACACTTGCTCGAGTTGAGCTTCACACGAACTGCAAAACAATTTCTGTTGATCGATCAAGATTAGCGATAGTCAGGTGAGAACCACAGCATTAACCTACTGTTGAAATGGTTTAATTTCTGTTACTAAAAGACACATCAAGATTTGCAGTAACATTTTTGCAAGTGATTAGTTTTGTTACTTGCACCGCATGTTAAACTCTCTGGTGACGCAACATTTGAAAGTAGCATGGAAAATCTGAAACATAGCCGCGCAACCATTATGAATCTTTGATAAAAAAACCAACGGCTCTGGTTTGTCTTAGCTGTGACCGTTGTCTTTGCTATATTTTACGGGGCTACCCTACATCATAATAATTGTTTTAGGGTGAAAACCTTGATCTGTTACATTTTATAGGATACTGCCCATATGAACCAGTGCTGAATTTTTGTGAAGCATCGATATATGAAAATACTGATACCAATCTTTAATTGTTTTTTGCAGCGGGCAGAGCAAAGGCGGAGGTGTCACTGCGTATGGTCATACTCCATTATACGGATCACAAACTCCAATGTATGGTGCACAGACACCACAGCATGGCTCAAGAACTCCTATGTACGGTAGCCAGACTCCAGTTCATGATGGTAGCCGTACGCCTCGTTATGGGTCACAGACTCCTATTCACGACCCATCTAGAACTCCGTTGCATGATCCTTCAAGAACGCCATCCCATGATCCTTCGAGAACGCCTTCCCATGATCCATCAAGGACGCCTTCCCATGACCCTTCGCGTACTCCTTCTCACGTGGGCCATGGTGGGGCATGGGATCCTACGCAGCCCAATACCCCAGCCAGGCCTAATGAAGATTTTGAGTATACTTTTGACACAGTTAATCCGTCACCGGTATGTCCTTTGCCTAAATTGCTTTGAAAATCGTTTTTGCTTGACGCTCATTTTATGGGTAGAAGCTATAAAGAAACTGTTATAACAAATATTTTAATTTTTGAAGATACAAGATGACAGGGTGGAAGTAATATTCTACGATAAGTAAGGGAAAGAGAGATCATTGTTTCCTCGAAATTCTAGTTTATTTTGACCCCTGAAAAGTTAAAAGTCATAGCAATCAGGAATATGGTTCACTAAGCAAATTATCTTCCCCTTCTTAAATAGACACATTATCACAATCTTAGAGAAATTTGCACAGTCATTTATATTATCATCATTATCATCATTTGTCATTATCTTCATTGCTGTCAAGACTTTGTCAGTAAAAACCACCAATTTGTACTTTGCTAGACTTAAGTGATCTTATTTTCATCTGTTTTTTAGTTAATCTTTATAATCCAAGCGGTAATCTTTCATTGACTTATGGTGATCTAAACGCTTCTATATTTCAGAGTTTTGGAAGTACCCCAAGCCCAGCAACCCCTAGTGGGTACACGGGGCCGTACACCCCAGGCACTCCAGCTCACAATATTTACGGCAGTGACTCGTACTCGCCCATGCAACAGACACCATCGCCAATGCTGGGGACTCCGATGACCCCAGGAAGTGGACTTATACCCCTGTCCCCAATGACTCCTGGCGCCCCGTACGAAGAAGGTAGCGTTTTGCCTTACGTATAATTCAGCATTGATTATTCTTTATGATAACTATTGTATATTGGTGTTTAACAATGCTAATTTCATGTAGTAAAATGAAAGTAGGCAAAGGATTAAACGTGCAATCGTTTATTTTCCGTATAATTTTTAGCTCTGATCTACATGCTACACACGACAGAACAATAAACAATGCTAAAAAACCCCCAGTCGCAGGTTAATAAGGAAGGAAATTTACAAACGAGTCACTCTTTTGCGCCTCAACTACAATCTTTATCCGATTTAACTTTATATAAATTTATTCATAGTTTCGTTTTAACGTTGTTCATGTTTTTTTATCCATTAGATCAGCTATACGATCACAGTTTTCGTTTGCATAACTCAAATTGTTATCTATTTAGTTATGTATGATTTTTTTATCGTCAGTATTTTTTTTTATTTTTTTACACAGCAGAACCAATATGCTATTTCAATTCCAAGTAATTTGAAGTCCAACCAGTCGGGGCATCGTCGTATTACCTTGGGTCGAACAAAACGAGCACAAGCAGACCTAAGTTTAACTTCGACATGGTTATATGTTGTTGCATATTAAGTTTCTTAGATCGTGCACCTCTTGTCAAACAGTGGTGACGTTATTGATCTGCAAAATTAGTATCAAAAGTAACTACAGCTGTGGGAAACAGCAAATTGATAGTAGTTCACAGTGGCGGAGCCACGGGGGGGGGGGTGGTGGACTAATCCCGCCACTTTTTCAGAAAATTGGTCCTTGAGATTCTTGCAAATCTGATGAGAAAACTTGTATCATACGAGCGTGAGCGAGGGTTAATGTGTATTTCTTATCTAGATCGTCACATTTAAATGACATTTCTTAAAAGACAAGAGGTGTTTCCTCCGAAAGAAAATGTTTCCAACAAGGAAAAGGGGCGTGGTCCAAAGGGTCTGGTCCCTGACACTCCTTTTGTCCCCCCAACTTATCCCAGACTGGAACCGCCACAGGTAGTCCAGCTTCTAACCAAGTAACTTAAGAAAATGTGCAATATGAATTCTCAATGCTTTGAATCATGATGCCTTTATGCTAGGCCTAAATTAGCCCTAATCATGGTATATGTTTTTCGTACTATAGCACCTACAAACAAGACCGTATTCTCCACAGATGTTGAGGTAGAAATTCCGGATGATTATGAGGTTAGTGACAAGGAGATTATCAAGAATCTTTATTTGCCTAAATGCCTGTTTCGTAGACATCCTTATATCGTATAACATTGACTGTTTAAGGCTTTTTGTCAACCTTAAACTTTGGCTGCACACCAGTTGCTGTTACTGCCGTTGATATCGGTGTGAAAGTCCCATTTCGAGTACCAAAAAACGGTCCATAATTCTTCATTTGACTAAAATAACCGGTCCAAAATGGATTTTCTTTATCTAAAATTGCTTCTAACTTCAACTGCTGAATCAAAATCGAGCGTATAGAGAAAATGAAAGTGGGAGTTGGCAAAGCTTATTCAGAAGCCATCATACAACTGCTTCATATTTTAATGTAGTCAAAACGCGCGTACTGCCCATGCCTTCACAGAAACGCAATTCCCTTGAACTGAAAACTTTCTAGCTAGACGATATACTGATTGTAAGTCTTGAGCACCTGGCAAACCATGTTTGGTTGGTTCACCACTGAGGTTGGTTCATTTGAAGGTAGCAGGACAGCCCAGTGTTTGCTGAAGCACGAGGCTTTCGGGGACTTCTTGGAGTAATTTATTGAAAAGAGGATTCCTTAATTCTGGGACAAATAAGGAATTTTCTAACAGTATGACTCAGCCAATTTATTGCTGGTTTACAATCTTTTGACTTGATTAATGATTTTGTCTGGTTGCAGCTGCTGATTTTAGGTTCTCCGATTTGATTTTCGGCGTCAATATTAATTGTGCAGTATTCTTCCCAGGTTTCCAAAAGGCTACCTTGCCCAACGAAGAGACAGGAGATTCAAGACTCTGCCTTGTTTTATTTTCCCCCAAGTAAATTAGTAGTCCTTAAAAGGCCTGCTCTAATTTCTATCATAATCAAATAGAAATATGCTAAGATACATAGCATATTTTGTGCCCAGATATAAAGTAAAATATGCTTAGCTGCGGAAAACATCGAACAGTTACAAATGCCCAGCTTCTCTTTACTAATTTCATGCTCTTTTTCACCAGGATCAAAGATTTGCTAACAAACTTGGAGTGATTCGCCAGATTTCTGGAGATACCTGCTCTGTGTTTATTTACAGTGAGAGGGACACAATACCTGTCAAAATGACCGTTCTGAAACTTGTCTCACCAAACAAAAAAGACAGGGTATGTTTTTAGGTGTTTTCATAATTTTGTAACGTTTTGAATGAAAGTTTCTGCATTCCCTTTCCAAAATTGTTTTAACACCTACACGAAATCTTCGCAATTTATTTCTGTTGTTTCACCTCTACCTATTGGAATGTTGGTTAGTATAATTTCCAACTAGTACTAGACCCATAGACACTTAAAATATATGAATCAACATTGAAAGAGGGGGGGGGGCGAAGAGACGAGTATTATCAAAGTGTCGCTGACTTGAGAAGGTTGTTAAACCCAAGAGTTGTTAAATTTTGATCGTGAATGTCGCCGTGTTCAGACTAACTTTTGCCAAGGATTGTTGATATACATCCGAATGTTTTAAGGAAGTTTACCTACCTGGGCTTTTATTACGTTGTAAGCAATACTATGAAAATTTTCTTGATGGTGCAAAAGTAAAATGACTTTGAAGAAACTCTTTTATTCTGCGCTACATCTGACTGGACCTTTTCAATCCACAACTTGGCGTATATTTGTTCTACCTTTTCCTAGCGTATATACTCTGAAGAGTGTCAGCTATTTCTTCCTTCACTTCAGAATGAGTAGATTCTCGGAACTTCTGCCTCGTATCATGTTTTGCATAAAGTTGTTATATACCTCATCATGATGATCAAAAACAGCTACTTTCCAATCTAGACCCTCTTTGGTTTTAGAGAACCAACCCGGATAGGGAATTCAAGGATATTCTCCAATGCTATTTTCTATTATCAATAAATAGCTTGATCTCGAATTTCCTAGGTTAAGATCCTGGCTGGTGATGACAAAGACATGACAGGCGTGCTTATCAATATAGACGAGCTAGATGGAATTTTGAAAATGGACAAAGGCGAACATGGCCTAAAGATCTTCCAGCTCTCTCTGCTTGGGAAGTATGTTCCTACAGATTAGAGAAAGTTTTGAAGTAAAAGAAACATGCAGCAATATTTTGCATTTATTTTTTGCAGTAATGAGTATAGAGACATTCTAGACATTTGTCGTTAAAATTTTGTGTAAGAGATCTGGAAATAGTTTGGAAGTTAACAACTACCCAATAAGAAAGCGTCTCAGTGGTATCACGCTTACTGATTGGCCAATTGTTGATGGACAGATGTCTTAAGCCAATTGCCAATAATTTAAAGCGAGTCTGATCGTATTAAGCATCTTTAAAAAAGACATGGTAACAATCCTGTCGATCGATTCCTTATAATCTCCAGGACAGTGTCCTTTAAGTAATACGTCGTGAGTTCCAGTCAGGGTTTCCATGTTTTGTCACGAAAATTAATTATTTTGAAAATTAGCAATTTTGGTGTTTACTTTTTGTATCAATTTTATGATCCAATAGCAACTTCTTGCCATCCCTATGGTAGGTGTATCTGATAATTTCATTTTGATATTTACCTTTTCCATTTGAATTTTAAACCCGTAATTATTCTGGTCTATTTTTCCGACAAATACCTGACAATTAAATGCTTTTTTGAATCACAAGAACAAGTTTGTCAGTTAGAAAAGCTGGATCTCTTTGATTAGCAATCTTATTCATTAGTTTATAGAAAAATGGAGCGTCTACACGGCTGTCGTTTATATTCTAGTTTTTGTTTTAGATTGGCCCAACGCTTTATCTGCATTGGTGAAAAATAAGATTTGTATTCCAACAGGTTTTTTAGTGGAAACTACCTTCATTAGAGCCTGATCTCTTGGCCTATTTTACAGTAGGACAATCAACTTAAAAGTCAGTTTGACTGTGTCATACAAGCAACATCCTTCTGGGGGGAGGAGTATGTAGCTCGGTTTTCAACCAATCAAATCACAGAAGCGCTGAATCCCTGTCGGAATTTTCTCTGCAGTTTTAACAATCGTCCTTGTAACTACATTCAATCCTTAACAGCTGGAATTCTCTACTTTTTTTAAAAAATTAAGAAAACCATTTTGCAAAGGTGTGCTCAGTTACGAATTCAGCTTACCCGTCAAAGATGACGTAATTCGAATTGTCTTGAACTTTGTTAATTAGACAAGGCCGGAAGATGTTTAGAAATCAACTATAAACTGTTAAAGTTTCACAAAGCATGCCCATCCCGTCTTCAATCTGTTCATAGTCAATCTGTCCTAAATTTATCGATTCTTGTTGACAGTTTTAATCCTTTGTCTTCAAATTTTCTCCTGAAGTTAAATGATAGGGATCTTTGTACAAGTCAACAAAAACCTTTTTTCATAAAAACTTAAACAAACGATTAGTAAATGTAAGGATGATTTACTGATAAGACGGGAAACAGCAGAGACATGGTGTGGCTTGGTAGGTTCCGAATTCAAAGTTGGTGCTTATGCTGAAGTTATTCCCCTAAAGACCTTTTGACACATTGCCCTAAACACAAGTCTCGTAGCATGCATATAGAGTCCTGCATCAACAACAATCCCCCATTCAAAGTTGGTGCTTATGCTTCTTAATAGCAGAGAGACAAACATTAAACCGGGGGAGGGGGTGCAGAATCTCGCAACCGTCTGTCCAGGATGGTAGGTGTGAATCGGATTACAAAATGTGTTCTTGTATACAATTGTTGTGTTTTGTATCATACTGTAACCGTGTAATTAAGCTTAGGTTGGGGGAAGGTTTACTAGCCCATGCCCATCGAGCATCAAAAGGGGGCCTTTTTGGAGAGGGGCCTCGAAAAGAGGATTGAATAACAACGAAACTGTAAGTAGCATAGAAATTAGTAAAAAAAGTAAAATTGCTGGGTGTGCTCTGAGACATGTCGTAAAAGTTTTTGCAAATGAATAGGGTTTGTTTCTTTATTCAAAGAAATAAAAACTACCACAATCAACTTTAAATTAATTAGGTAATGTACTTTGCAACCTCGAGTTGAAGTTGTGAAAACCTCGAAACAAAGTGCTTCATTGATCACGGCATAATGGCGGCCTAAGGCCATGTGATAAATGCAAATTGTCAACAATGGTTTTTGCGATGCTGCATAGACGATCTCAATCACAGAAGTAAAGTATATTTTTTTATGTTTTATTCTGTTGTTGTTGTTTTAATGCTCAGATGCCCCAAAAAACTAAACACTACGAAAATAGTGTGATCACGAAGCGTTGGTTGAAGATTCTAAATGTTATAAAATCTATATTGTTATAGAAGAGGTTCATATCTATTGCATAGAGTTATTCGTGAATTTCAATTTTAAAAAATTGCAGGCAGATACATCAAAAAGGCAAAATATTGATTGTAAAAAGCATCCTTTCTTATTATTGGTTTACTGTTTCTTAACTGGAGAACATTTGCTGCATTTTTATGTTCACCGAAAAAGCTGCTCTGTATTAAAAGCAGCGAGTTTCAGGTTTCAATTCATTACCAATCCACACTACATACAGTTCTACACAAACACATTACAAATAAATACTAGTACTAAATGTGTAACAACATCAAATACAAACTACGAACCATTAGACATGAGGCTTGTGAAGAGCCTGAACCTGGGAACATAGCATGAAATGTGATTGGTAAATTTGTTCTATTTCTTGGCAAATCTTTTGACAGATCTTAGGTCTTGCCTTTAATTGACAACATAAGTCTATGACCTTTGCAAGTAAGGAGCTAAAGGCCTGAAATTCCCTTTTTTGAAGAAAAGTGCCCCCTTATATCTGAAAATTGTCCCCTTTTATTTTAAAAGTGCCCTTTTGCATGCCCATAATACAAAAGTAGTGTATCTACTTTGCTGTTCCCCCACTTTCCAGCATATTCATACACCTGTGCGATTTCGGCCCTCATACACCCTTGCGATTATAAATTATTAGTTAAATTATTTGTTTTGTAAAACAAATTAGACAAGAGTTTGAAATAGTGCTCACAAAAGAGAGACAAGTATTCAATTACTTGTTCATGTTTTGGTTATTTTAAAACATTAGACACTAAATAAACAAATTTATGTTCAATTAACAAAAGTTCTTTTCAAGCCTTTCTAATAAAGGAATGTCTGTACTTTTTTAAATAACCTGATGACCTTTTATAAGAGTGGTTGTGCATGGATAGAACATTTTTAGTCCAGAGGCACAAGGGGGAGCATTGCCACCCAAGGAGGGACTTTACAAGACTAACTTTTTCTAGACCAGTTTTTGGTGTAGAGTTTGAATCTGGATGTTGATCGGGTGGGAGAGGACAATTTTCCGAGATACAGGGGGTTTTGTCTAAAAACTGGGATGTTGCCTATGCATGAGCTAGCAAGGGCCACCTGATGAGGAACCTTACCAGAGCAACTTTTTTATAGTGTGGAAAAAAGCCAAAAAAATCATGCATTTAATGAAGAAATCATGAAAATTGGCATACCTATAGATTTTGACATGCTGAAAACGATGAGATTGGGACCCCAACTGTGAAGTACCCCAAAGTGCTATTTTTAGCCGATGGTACTCGGACCCTTTCCTCTGCAGCTTATTCTACCTATTTCTCATCATTCTTCCATATCAAAAGCATAAAAAGTTATATATAGTCAGGCATGTAAACACAGTAATGTTGATATCTAAAAATGAATTGACCCCAACTTTTATTTTTAGAGGGGGTTCTTTGTTCCAGACCTCCAGGAAAAATGCCAATTATTTTTCTGACATACTCCGCAATGAAGTATGAAATTTACTAGTATTATAGAGATTACAGCAATCACATCTTTCAGTTGCTGCACAATCTGTTTTTAGAAGGAAGTACTTGGGTTCAGACTTCTACCAAATTGTCCACCAGTGAGATGCAGCGATTTGATGTTATTTTTGAAAAATACATAGGTAGTAGCCTGAAACCAGATATGGGAGAAGGGCAAGGTTTTTGAATTCAAATCTTTGTCAATGAAACCACACCTATGTGAAAATTTTGGCAACTATTTCTATGAAATAACAAAAAAAATGGAGCTGTTTTATTTTCTTGTTGTCGATTTGACAAGCGAATCTTTGGCAAGTTGTTTCGTAGTTGCTATAGATTCTGAAGAAGTGCTATATTAAGAAGCAAACAATCATACATTCTCAACTCCCTACCATCACAAAGAGGCAGACACACACTTTCCTGCATGTCAAACATTGTGCTGTTTCCGGAAGTGGAAGATTTAATGGGGCAACTGATAAAATTATCTTAAAGCATGAATTGCTGAATTCTGAGGACTCTCGTCACCAACTTCTGAGAGTTTCTTTGGATCTATTCATAGGATATTCAGAGGCTCTATTCAAGTTTTTGGACAAAGCCCTCCATATCTCAGAAAAGCATCATCTTCCAACCGATCAACCTTTAGTTTTTAATTCTGCACCAAACACTAATCTGGACAAAGTTGGTTTGGTAAAGTTCCACCTCAGGTGAAAATTGACAGCACATTCACAAGCTGCATCCTGGAACAAAACCCCCTGTATCTTGGAAAAGCGTCATTTCCTGCCCGATCAACCTCTACATTCGATTTCTACACCAAAAAATGCTCTAGAAAAAGTTGGTCTGGTAAAGTCCCTTCTCGGGTGGCAATGCTCCCCCTTGTGCCTCTAGACTAATTGTATGAAAGTATTATTTCTAAGAATGAGAGTTTTGATCTCATTTAGGGCAGGCATGATCGCTTAGAGCCAGCTTGGGCAAAGAAATTATTCACGAAACTCAGCCTACCCCCCCTAAGGAATTGCTCTTTGGCCATGCCCTTCAGTCTCTCAGAGAATCAGGGAAACACACTATTAAATACAATTATTGTAAAAACTTACATAGGTTCTTAATGAGATTGTGCAGAAATGTTGTCATGAATCAAGGATTTTATGTCTGTGATAAACTAACAGGCTTTGATTCCATATAAGTAGCTGAAAATATAGGTTTTCTGCATTGTGAATAGAACCCTTTTAGCTATCTGATACTAGGGTGGTGTAAGTTTATTATGGGCCCCATCAGAGCATGGGCACCAGATCTGTTACCCCTCCTAACTCCCCTTTGACACTCCTGAGGGCAGGCTTCCTCAAATTCATCCAGAGTATACAGGTTGGATCACTAAAAATGACAAATAATAAGCTTGCATCAATGACCCTAAATATTGAGATCTTTTCCTGTGCAAAGAGAAATTCATTTACCGCTCAATCAATTTTAAATAGTTTTATATGATAAGTTTTTGTTATCAATGAAGCCTTGTATGACTTCTACCGCTTTAGATAAATCTTCATCTAGTTGTTAGATGCACTGTTGGCCCTCTGTATCTGTGAAAATTCTCACTGATTCTGCATTTTGATAATCACTAAAATGGGTAACTGAAAGTATGTAGCTTTAGGGACAATACCCCATGATTCAACAGTTTCTTAATATGTAGCATCTTTTAAGATTTACCAAATTTCTGAAAATCTAGAAATGGCTCTCAAGCAAATTTCAATTCACTCTCAAGACTGTTCGTTGTAAATTTACCAGAAGATTTACCTCATAATGTGTATAAGTCTTGCCACACCTTTATTCTTGAGGATCATTTATCTATATATTGTCAATATGCATTTGCCTTTGCTGCTGCAAAAATGTTCTTTGGTA